CCTCCCCGCCCCCCTCACGGATACATATAGTGCTAAATTCTATTCGATCGATAGGACAAGAAGGCGTTACCTAAATAAGATTTAAATATTTAAAAAAAAAAAATTTAAATTGCTTGCATTGTATTGTGTGCGTATTTCAGCGTTAAATCTTGGATATAATCCAACATCATATGTGATGATATGTATGTAATATCATTTTTATACTACTAAGGAATAACGGTCTCACGGATTTATAAGATGGGACAAGAGAAGTAAAAAATTATGTTGATGGGACAAGAGATGGCAAAGATTATATTGATGGGACTAGAGATGACAAAGATTATATTGATAGGAAAAGAGATGGCAAAGATTATATTGATAGGAAAAGAGATGGCAAAGATTTTATTGATGGAACAGGAGATGGCAAAGATTTTAGGACAAGAGATGACAAAGATTATATTGACGGGACAAGATATGGATAAGATTATATTGATAAGACAAAAGATGACAAAAATAATATTGTTAGGACGACAAGAGATGGCAAAGATAATATTGTTGGGACCAAAGTTAGCAAAGATTATATAAATGGAACAAGAGATGATAAAGATTACATTGATGGAACAAGAGATTACATAGATTACACAGATGGAAGAGTAACAAAATAATTTATAGATGGGACAAGTGATGCAATCATAAAATTTAAAGATAAATGTACCTTAGCCCACTCCCTGATGCATGTCAAGCAGAAAATATGCTGGCAGGGGGCTGGTCGACCCAGGTCCTGAGCTCTGAGTTTAAGAAGACAAATTGGACAACTCTCTCCTTCATCACCAGAACTATTATCCGCAGCAGTAGTACTCTCAACACTCACATCCATCTGTACAATATTTAGGAATTAAGAACATTGCCTTTAGCAGGGTTTAGGGTCAAGATCCGGATCCGTTAGATCAGCAACATTTTGGCTTCCTGGATCCGGATCCGTTAGATCAGCAACATTTTGGCTTCCTGGATCCGAATCCGAAAAAAATGTGGATCAAAAAGGAAACTGTAAAACAACGGTTTGCTCTCAAAACCCAGATCTGAACTGTTCCTCATCTCTTAATGGTTCATCAAGTTTTAGCTAAGAATAAGCGGACAAGAAAAATATTATGAAAAATCTTCTTTTGTAAAAAATCAGTAAATCTTTAAGAGATGTTAATGAACTGGATCCGTATTCCGGATCATAATCCGAATCCATTTTTTATCGGGGTGGCCGCATCCAAAGAAATGGATCCTTAGCACTGGCGTATAGGATCCATTCCATCTTGATGCGTATTACTCAAAACTAGACACTATACAGATATGAATACCAGTCAAAGGACGAGCATTAGCCGGATGCAGTCAATACCACTTGATGAATTTCATACTTGTAGCAAATAAATCACGGGGCGTTAATCACTTTTCACTTGATACTTCGGAAATAGAGATGGGCCAGTGCGTATTCAGTTGCAGGGGGATATATCATTAAATATTTGTATTGGTTTGGAAAAAAATTAGGCAATCCTTTAAATTTGGAATTTTAATTTTTTCGGCGCTAAGAGTGAATGTGCATTCTACTGAAGTATTACTTTAAAAATTATTTCTCAATTTTTTGTTCTGAAACTATTTGCCATTCCGATATCATAAATGTTTCTCGTTAGTAAATTCTCAAAATTAATGGTTTAGGCGCAACAAGACTGTTTTCATGTTTTAAATGCGGATCCAAGGATCTGCAATATTTTTGAGGATCCAGATTAATTGAGATTTATGTTGACTTCAAGCTTAGTTTCAAGAAAATCTGTATGCAAGGATGGCAATGTTCTATTCATAGCGGAATCCTTAAAAGATTTGTCTGATCAAGTATGAATAAGATATTAATGTTTATAACTTTGAAAACTGATTATTTCAAATTGCGGTTTCTCTACAAAAGGTAATTACATAAAGGAATTATCTGATTTAAACACTTCTCAAACTGTAGAAAAAGACAAAATCTCCTCATTATTGATAAGATAAAGGTTTCAATGACTGAAATGAAAAACTTTTTAAAATTGCACCTGTTCGTTCTCTGTCTCATTCTCAGCCTCGCTATCAGAAACCTCCGACCCCTCCTCCGATTCTGTGCCTTCAGCCTCCGATTCCTCGGAGTCGCTGGATTCAAACTTCTCAGACATGTTTCTGAAAAGGTCGGAGGACTATGTAAATTTTTTCATTTAGCCAGTTTTATTTTGTTTAGTCCCGAAGAAGACCTTCCGAGGGAAAAATAAAGATTTTCAAATAAAAAAAAACTTATTAATAATATTGATTATGGAAGGTGTTTGCAGACTAAAAATTCATGAAAATATTGATTATTTGCCAATTGAGTATTAAATGTTTTCCTACAAATATTAAATATTTTGTTAATGCATATGACAGATAAAATAATTTTAAAAATAATAATCACTGTCAATCCTTCAATCTAGGTTGTAGGCTTGAGCTCCCTTCAGTTTAAGTTCCAGAATCAACCCAGATAAGTGTAAATTCAGGGGTAGGACAAGCCATCGACCCATCTGGACACTCTCAGCTACCTAATGATCCTGTCGGTATGTATGTTGAGTTGTTCCGAGATGGTTTTTGGGATTGAAGGATGACAGCGATCATTGAGTTGATTTCATTAATTTAAATTACATTTCTTACGTGGATCATAGCCTACAGTACTTCTAATATTTGGTATTTTAATAATAAACATGATATATTTTATGTAAATATATTATATGTAAGACGACCACGTTTTATTTACGCTGGGTACATTTACTTTCAATCAATTTCAACACATGTATTATGTGGTCATGCCAAAGATTAGACACGTAGGACAAGAAATATTCAAGTTATTTCAAGTACGATGTACATTGTACAATAAAGAATGTACAATGTACAATGTACAATGTACAATGTACAATGTAAAATGTACAATGTACAATGTACAATGTACAATGTACAATGTACGACGTACAAATACAGTACAGTGTGTACACTGTACACTGTGCAAATAAAACAATGATGGCTTTCTTTCTTGTTCTATCTGTATAATTTGTGGGTCTTGCATATCTATATTTATATATTCTTTAGATAACATAACTAAATAATTTCCAATAACATTATTCCGGAGTCAATCTTAAAAATTGCGTTAGGTAAAAAAAGAGAAAATAAAAAATCCCTCAATAAAAGTATACAACACCCGATTAAAGCTCATTAAATAATTCAAAACTGTTTTTTGTTCAGAGGCTTGCATTTACACTTATTGGTTTACTACTTTGCTGGTTCAAGGCTTATATCTAGTAGGATTGTAGGGGGGGGGGCAGTAGGAGCTAACATAGATGAGGGGAACACACAAAGAGATCTTTGAATGCGGAAGGGGGGGAACACACACAGGATACATTTCTGGACAGGAAGTAGAGGAGGGGTACGAGAATAGGAACAGGGGGGAGGGGATTAGGATATCATCATTTGCTGGTATTTGACATATTTAGATGTACACTTTCGCCATCGCATCAGCTCCTAAAAAAAAGGAATGTTAAACAATAATATTTCTTCTATAATGAACTCTCAAATGCACAAGCATCTACATATACATTATGTTAGTCAGTTATATCGTCATAAAGGATAGAATGCGACAGTATAATATACCTGCAGAACCTATATATGGTCTGGAAGGGTAGTTCATGCGACAAAATAATATCCCTGGAGAAGCTATATATGGTCTGGAAGGGAAGAATGCAACAGTATAATATAAATGTAGAACCTATATATGATCTGGAAGGGTAGAATGCAACAGTTTAATACCCTGTAGAACCTATATACGGTCTGGAAGGGTAGAATGCGACAGAATAATATCCCTGCAGAAGTTATATATGGTCTAGAAGGGTGGAATGCAACAGTATTATATACCTGCAGAAGCTATATATGGTCTGGAAGGGTGGAATGCAACATCAAGGATACTCTCATCAAACTTCTTCCTATGAGCGGTCATCTCTTGTACACATGTTTTACTCTCAAGGTTCCAAACCCTAAATAAATAATTTAACATTTTCTAAAAGAACAAATATTTTCGTGAAGGAAAAAAATGCTTGAAAAAGTATGCGAAGCTTTTACAAGCTGAAAATCCATTATTATGATTTTTATGAATATTTTCTTAAATCATTATCTAGTAGTTTAGTTGTACCTTATACTGCAGTCATGGCTGCCAGAGATAAGATATAAACCATGCTGGTCTACAGCTAGGCTGGTAACTGCGTCCAGGTGGGCCACCATACTGTGGACCATGGCCCCGCTGGTGTTATCGTAGAACCTGATGTGGCGGTCCTCGTGGGCTGTGATGGTGAGAGGAAGGGTAGGGTGGGATAACACTTTATTTATAGGCCCGACAGCCTAAAAAGTTAAATTGCTGATAGATAAACAACGTCTTAGAACCAATATATATTAAAAAAATAAAACCTAACCCAGCAATGGAAATTAATGATTGTGTTGAAAGTGATTAACATAGTGCTTAGGATCCATTTAATTTTGATGTTCCGGAACCCGGTTCCGCACTGGAAAAAAATAGATCCGGATCCAGGTCCTAACCAATTCTTTAAGATTCACTGATATGACAAAATATGAATTTTCAAATTATTTTTCCATTCTTTTTATGCCAATTGATGTACCGTTTGGAGATGAGGACATTTTTAAGTATCTGCCTTTTTTCAATAGTTCAGATTTAGGATTTGATAGTAAAAGATTTTGGTTTGCAATTTTAAAATTATTTTCTTCATACCTGTCCAGACACAGGATCCTGAGCTGTATCCAACCTTGTGACAACCTGCCCTGTTTCTGTATCCATGATACAGCAGGCAGCAGAGCTGTATCCAACTATACAGTGCCCCGCCTCCCCTACCACCCAGCACACGCTGGTGGGACACGCCCCCTCCTCCCCACACAGTGTCAGCAAATACTTTTTATCCTTCACACTCCATACTCTTAACAATATACAAATGTTAAATTTGGAAAAAATATAGAAAAATTGAAACAAATTGACAATTATAACCTTGGGGATATTAAATGGAATTAGAAGAAATTTGAACATAAGCAATTCTCAAATAATTTTTTTAAATAAATGACTTGGAAAACAATATGATTAATTGATTACCTGACAGAGGAATCGGCTGAGCTGGATAAGAGCTGTTGCCGGGAGGAATTGTAAGATAAATCCCAGACAGCGTCAGTGTGCCCTGAAATATCATTTTAATATTATGAACATTTTATAAAAATCTTAAAAATATACATTGTTCACAGTAGAACCGACATATCCGATGCGTCAATTCAATGTACTGCAGTGGGATGAGCAGATTAAAACAATAATAGGTTTTTCGAGCATTATGTGAGTATTTTGGGTTAAAGCTTAGATATAATCCAATATGATGATATGGGACGCTATGTAGGACAAGTAACATATCACTCAGGTCAACCTTTAAGACACAAAAGGTAATTTTCTATCGAGAATTCGACTATCTCTTAAATTCACGAGCAAGTGAGCTTGCATTCTATAATATATGATAAAAACTAGTGTTAGGTACTTTCCCAAACGCATTTTCCCAAGTGGCAACTTGCCAGGCAGCAACTTCCCAAAGGGTACGATAGGCCCTTTGTGGCGCCGCAGGCTGCAATGGGAGGGCCGAGCGCTGCAGCTAGGAAGGGCAATGGGGCCGAGCGCCGCGACTAGAACAGGCTGAGAGCCAAATACTGCGGCTAGGACAGACTTGGAAATTGTTGCTTGGGAAACTGCACATTTGGGAAGTTGCTACTTGGGAAAATACCCTTGGGAGCTTGCCACATGAGAAAATGCCTTCGGAAGTACCTAAAATCTAAAAACTCACCTTCGAATTCGGAGAAGATGGCGTTGGAATCGAAAGTATCGTAAGGATCGATGGACGAGGGAGGAATGTTCCAGCAGCGGACGATTCCGTCAACTCCGCCTGAGAAACAATAGTCTCCCGCACCAGATACCTTAGTAATCAGTCAATAAATCAATCACTTTATTACTTTAACATTCAATCACTAAATCAATTAAACATTCAAGCAATTAATCAATCAATGTTAATCAATCGACTAAATAGTTGATCAATTAACCATCAGTTTATCGACCAAACAATACAATAAATATATTCAAAAATCAAAATAACTTTCCATTGTTAATTGGATGACGTTGGAAAGGATACCAATGAAAATCGAATTTGCCATTCTTTGAATGGAGAGTCCTTTAAGATATCATCCCTGTTTAAATAATAATTTAGTTAATCTACCTCTAGACAGAGAACTGGTCCAGTGTGCCCCCTGAATGTATAAACCGGTTCTACATCAAGCGCCGTGGATTTCTTGCAAGTGGTCGCCTTCTGTAAATTCCACATCTTCAGCGTCTGATCCTCGCTTGCCGTAATTAGAACCGGTTCGGTCGGGTGGAAACCCAGGGATCGGACACCATCGAAGTGCGAGCGAAGAGTGTATTTCGCAGACCAAGTCTTACGGAATGCTTCCTAAAAATACGGAAAAAATATGGAAAAATTCAAAATGGCGGCGAAATATTTGTTATTTACCTTAGGCGCTGTGAGCTGATCATAGTTAAGATCGTTCTCATTGTTAATGGTGAGCTGCTCTAGCTCCCCTAGCTCTAGGTTACCCTGCTCAGGAGCTCCAGCTCCACCCACACCCCACTCCCCGCTCCCGGACCTCTCATTCCACTCCCCGCCTTTATCCACCGCGTCCACCTCGGACTGAGTGAGGAACTTGAATTCGTTGAGGACCTCTTCCGTGTTGTCAAGGCCTATGTTCAGCTTGTCAATGTCCTCCTTCTTACCGAGCTTGATAGATTCAGGACTAAACCCATCGTCTCCATCCTCAGCCATCACCTGAGTAATTAGAGTTCTAACTTCTAATAAATTATTTTCCTGCAAAAGCAGGGTTGCCATAAGAAAAAACCAAAAAAAACAACAATAAAACCCACTTTAAAAAAACCTACCTGCAAGTAGGCTTTATTGGGCTTTTTTAGAATTTTTCTAATTATTTCCTTTTCTTCACTCTTACAATGATAACATCTTCAAGAAATACTCAACCGTACTGATTTTTAGGAGCTCACAAGTTTTCTTACCGCTCCTGAGCATTGTTTCAAAAATAAAATTAGTCTATAATTTTCCAACTATAATATAAAAAATTGCACTGTCCCCCAATGAATAAGTTAGGTGATATTATTCTATTTGAAGAGTATTAATAAATGATTATAGCCTATTATCACAAAAACATTATTATTTTTCAAAACAATAAAGTTCACCTATTGCTTAAATAGTCTAAATATTATGAATTAGTATGAATTTTAGTAGGTTTTAACTACTTACAAAATTGAAAAACACAAAAAAGCCCCCCCAAAAAAAAACCAATAAAACCAACTGGGCTGGGTTTTTTTAAATCCGGGTTTTTTCCAACACCGTGCAAAAGACTTCTTTAAATTATTCTCATTTTTTAAAAACCCATTCTCCTCTCTATAAAATAATCTCTCCATTTTCTTTAGTTTTACCCTGCTTCAAAAACATTCCCAAATTCCACTCTTTAAAAATCTTAGAAGGAAAATTATTCAAGGAATTCAGTTGGGTACATGCCAGCTTCACCCCCCCCCCCACACCCAACTAACCTCGTCCTCGTCCTCTAGATCCTCCTCCCTGGAAAGGAAATCAAAGTTCGCCATAGCAGATTCTTCGGCACTCGCCAATATATCCTCACCAACATTTCCCTGCTTACCTTCCCACCTAGTAAGAAATAAGAAATAAAAAGTTTTAGTGGAATGAATCAATCAAATTTGAAATGCTAGGAGTTTTAGTGGAATCAAATCAAACTAAATTTGAAATGCTAGGAGTTTTAGTGGAATAAATCTATCAAATTTGAAATGCTAGGAGTTTTAGTGGAATCAAATCAAACTAAATTTGAAATGCTAGGAGTTTTTAGTGGAATAAATCAATCAAACTTGAAATGCTAGGAGTTTTAGTGGAATAAATCAATCTTAAACGAATGAATCTTAAATGAGCTGTGGGTTAGATAGTTTGAAGTGATTGTTGGCAAAGTTTGAAATGACTCGCTAATTAAAGGTCTGCAGGACTATTTCACAATACTCCTTTATTCTTTGATTCTTTGTATGAGCAAAAATCCTGGATCAGACCCTTATTATTTTTAATTATGGTTTCCCAAATTGATCTGAATCCGAATTTAATGATTTTGAGCCGAGTCTCAAATCCGCCAAGAACCAGTTTCAATTGAGCGCCGGCTTGATTCTTGAAACATTGAATACAATCTTAAGTGGAACCAACCATATTTGAAACCCATCTCAAATTTAAGCCGCGGCTCAAATTTTTGATGATTTATATAGCAAAGCCAATGAACAAAAATTAACAAATAATAGTTTAAGATCCAACAAACGACAATATCTTTATTATGGTTTAAAAGATCTAGTTGTTAGTCGGACACGTAACTCTTCAAGCTCGGGTCAGTTCTAATTTTGCTAATATTGTGGAAGAAAAGGGATTCATAATAGTTAGAGGGTTGGATAAAGATAGTTTGAAGGAATATGAATTTAATATTTGGATGGAATAAAATAAACAAAATAGATTAATTTTATGATAATATATAGTACAGGGGAAACCAAAAACTGTAGAATTGGAGAACGACATTTTAAAAATCTGATGTGCATTTTATGTGGTCTGTGTACACTGTACAGTACACAGCACAATTGCAAATTTCTATGTTCCATGTTCATAAGACTTTTAATGTCTCACAGTCTTTTTTATTTTACGAAGTTTTTTTTGGGTCACACCGTCATAAGTTGTTTGGTTTGGTTTGGGATAAAGTTTCAGAATGGAAAAACTGGTTTACGATTAGTTTACCTCCTCCTATTATCCGGAACCCTCCGAGTGGTTTCAACTCCTCCAAGATTTTGATTTGTTTCTCCCTCATCCTGGAGTTAAAACTTCATCAATATCTTTTTAAGCTAGAGTGAGTCCAGACTGAGGAATGATTGATAAGAATTAAAATTAAAAAAGATTTTTCGAAACCCAGAATCGCTGTATCCTGTTATTCTACTATCCCTGTATCCCAGTACCCCTGTATCCCTATAACCTAGCATCTCAGTATCCCTGTATCCCCAAGTATCCCAATTCAATTCAATTCAATTCAAGAAGCTAGGGAAGTCCCATGTAACCCAGTATCTCGTTATACCTATATAATTCTATGTATCCCTGTATCACATTACTCCAATATCCCAGTATCCCAGTATCCTACCTGGAGACCAAGGATGGATCTAACTCTATTGCTCCTGACATCAATGATAGTATCCGTATATCCTATCTCCTGGAGATACTGCCGTAACAGTGCACGACCCTAGAAATATGAATCAATCAATCAAAAAATCAATCAATCAATGAGTAAATAAAAATCAATCAATCGATCAATATCAATTAGTCAATAGAAATAAGGCAATCAATCAGACAATCAATCACTTTAAATCAATCAAGCAATATCAATCTATCAAAATCAATCATCAAGCAATATCAATCAAACAATAATATCTGCTTCCAGTTTTAGTTTGAATCTAAACTCCAGTTTGTATCTAACAATCAATCGAACAACCAAAAAATCAATAAATCAATATCAATCAATATCAATCAATTAATATTATTCAATTAATATCAATCAATTATTGTCAATCCTCCAATATCAATCCTCAAATATCATTCAATCAATATCAATCAATATCAATTCTCCAATATCATTCAATCAATATCAATCGATCAAAATCAATCGATCAATATCAATCAATCAATATCAATCAATCAATATCAATCAATCAATATTAATCAATCAATATCAATCAATCAATATCAATATCAATCAATCAATCAATATCAATCAATCAATCAATATCAATCAATCAATATCAATCCTCCAAAATCAATCAATATCAATCAATATCAATCCTCCAAAATCAATCAATATCAATCAATATCAATCCTCCAAAATCAATCAATATCAATCAATATCAATCGATAGATCAATCAATCAATCAAGAATACCTGTTTCCAGTTTGAGTTGGTCACAGCAATAATATTTTCGCTCTGATCCAACGGCGGAAGCTCAACTCCGTCCTCGTCCTGGGGCGGAGGTCCAATATCTCCGCCGTCTCCGCCATATTTCAGTTTCGAGTATTTAGCGCGCTCTTGCTTGAGCGCATATTCCAGCATCTTGATCCTACGCACCAGATCGTTCTTCAAATTCTCCTGTCCCTTCCGTTCACCCTGAATAATGGTTCCGGTTCTAAGAAAATAAGAAATACTGAATTGATCTGAAAAGGAACCCCCCCAGACTGCCTTCAAGGCAAATACAAATGTAGATCATGTTCAAAGGGTAGCAAATGAGATTTTCCTAATTAATCCCACCACCTCACAGAATATTGATCGTTGATTTTAAATAATTGTTAAGATCAGATATAAGTTAAAAACCAAGTTTCGTGGAAACAACACCTTGGAGAATATTCTTCAAATCTCCTAAAAGCCTAGCTTTGAGATTTAAACCCCACCTGGAGAAAAGCAATCCTAGCTTGGAGTTCAGCTTTCTCCACTTCCCATTGGGATCTCTCCATTTCAAACCTAACAAAATGAATGATAGATAGTTAGGTTGTTAATATTTGAAATGCTTTGCTAACAACAACAAAAACTTACAAAAGATACAAAAGTTGTCTTAAACATTTTTTTTCGTCAAATCTCAAATTAATAAAAATATCTAATAAGGCGTTTTCAATTTTTTTTCTGAGAAGTTTAATTTGAGAACCAACATGTTTTTTTCCGCATAAATCAAGTTACCTGGACCACTCATGCTGAACGAAGTGTAGTATACCAGGAATAGTATACTGGGATCTAAAAATATCATTTTATTATCCAACGCTAGTTTACTACCGGTGTCCAACCCTAGTTTACTACCCGTGTCCAACCCTAGTTAAATACCAGTGTTACCAACCCTAGTTTACTACCTGTGTCCAACCCTGGTTTACTACCTATGTCCAACCCTAGTTTACTACCTGTGTGACCAACCCTTGTTTACTACCTGTGTCCCACCCTAGTTTACTACCTGTGTGACCAACCCTAGTTTACTACCTGTGTCTAACCCTGTTTTACTACCTGTGTCCAACCCTAGTTTACTACCTGTGTCCCACCCTAGTTTACTACCTGTGTGACCAACCCTAGTTTACTACCTGTGTCTAACCCTGTTTTACTACCTGTGTCCAACCCTAGTTTACTACCTGTGTCCAACCCTAGTTTACTACCTGTGTGACCAACCCTAGTTTACTACCTCTGCCCAACCCTAGTTTACTACCTGTGTCCAACCCTAGTTTACTACCTGTGTCCAACCCTAGTTTACTAACTGTGTCCAATCCTAGTTTACTACCTGTGTCCAGCCCTAGTTTACAACCTGTGTCCAACCCTAGTTAACTACCTGTGTCCAACCCTAGTTTACTACCTGTGTGATCAACCCTAGTTTAATACCTGTGTGATCAACCCTAGTTTACAACCTGTGACCAACCCTAGTTTACAACCTGTGACCAACACTAGTTTACTACCTGTGTCCAACCCTAGTTTACTACCTGTGTCCAACCCTGGTTTACTACCTGTGTCCAACCCTGGTTTACTACCTGTGTCCAACCCTAGTTGACTACCTGTGTCCAACCCTGGTTTACTACCTGTGTCCAACCCTAGTTAACTACCTGTGTCCAACCCTAGTTTACTACCTGTGTCCAAACCTAGTTCACTACCTATGTCTTACACTAGTTTACTACCTGTGTCCAACCCTAGTTTACAACCTGTGTCCAACCCTAGTTTACTACCTGTGTCCAATCCTAGTTTACTACCTGCGTCCAACCCTAGTTTACAACCTGTGTGACTAACCCTAGTTTACTACCTGTGTCCAACTCTTGTTTACAACCGGTGTCCAGCCTTAGTTTACAACATGTGTCCAACCCTAGTTAACTACCTGTGTGACCAACCCTAGTTTACAACCTGTGACCACTGACCAACCCTAGTTTACTACCTGTGTCCAACTCTGGTTTACTATCTGTGTCCAGCCCTAGTTTACAACCTATGACCAACCATAGTTAACTACCTGTGTCCAACCCTAGTTTACAACCTGTGTCCACCCCTAGTTAACTACCTGTGTGACCAACCCTAGTTTACAACCTGTGACTAACCCTAGTTTACTACCTGTGACCAACCCTAGTTTACTACCTGTGTCTAACCATAGTTTACTAACTGTGTCGTGCCCTTGTTTACTACCTGTGACCAACCCTAGTTTACAACCTGTGTCCAGCCTTAGTTTACAACCTGTGTCCAACCCGAGTTTACAACCTGTGTCCAACCTTAGTTTACTACCTGTGTCTAACCATAGTTTACTAACTGTGTCGAGTCCTTGTTTACTACCTGGAATCCTCCTTCTGCATGTTGGCTGCGGATTGGGGCTGGTTGAGTACAGGCTGCATAGAATCCTCCATACACTAAACCAAAGATTTAAGATAAACTGGGATTTTTTTGCAAAATTATTAGAAAATATTTTTAAAACACACCTGACGGTTTTAGGAAATCTCCGCACTTTCAGGGAAAAATTAAATCATATTTTCTGAAAAAAATACAATTATAAATATAAATATAAAAGCAATAAATTTCCGAACAGACATGCTTGGTCACAAACTTTTGAGAATATTTAACATTTTAACCTTAGATTTCATATTGAGAACAAATTCCGTCTTGGGAAATTTTACTCCTTAAGAGATAACTCTGTATAAAAATATCACATCAAAATGTAAAGAAGATTAGGATGGAAAGACTAGGTTTGAGAATCAATTGAAAATTTCAGATCACAGAGCATATTAAATTCAACCTTCAACGAGTCCAACGTAAAATAAAAATGTTTTTTTTTACAAATCCAAGCTGACTTGAGGTGAATATATCAGCCAAACGGAGGAAGATTTCCAACCGGGTCTCAGTTCGGATAATGTAGATTATCTACCAGTTTTTAGAGATAATGTAACTGACCTACCAGGTTTTAAGGACAATGTAAATGGTCTACCAGGTTTTATGAATAATGTAGATTATCGACCAGGTTTAAGGGATAAAGTAGATTATCGACCAGGTTTAAGGGATAAAGTAGATTATCGACCAGGTTTTATGAATAATGTAGATTATCGACCAGGTTTCTACGGTATACTAGTCTACCAGGTTTCTGGGGGTAAGATGCAAGGATTAATAAGAAGGTTTTCATTCTCCAGGATAGCGTAGAAGTATCCTTTGTTCTTGTTGTATCCCTGTTCATAAAGAAAAATAACAGTAACAATATAAACACATTAAACTAATTTTAAAATGTCTCCAATTCCTTATTTCCATGAAAATTGTGTTCCTTTACGTTTTTTATAAAAAAAGCCATGCAGATTTCACTTTTATGAAACATCTATGTTTATCACTTTTTAATGACTTAGTGTTCTATATTGTCACTAAAAGTGAACTAATTCCAATGCAAATTGATTTGCTTTTGATAAAAAAAAAAAACATTATTTCTTTGAAATATCTGCAATGTACATTAAATACACCTTTTCAAACAAAGAAGGTGTTAAAAACTCTGATTTTCTAATCCCTATATATTAGCAACCAAATGGCGTAGACCTTTCAAACTATTAATTCTGTTAGATAAAATAATTAAAGTTTAAAGTATATAAAGGTTTAAATCAGTTTGCAAAGATATAGTGATTAGAAAATTTGAGTTTGTGGCAAAGACTCAATTAGTTTCTTCTACCTTGGTTCGAACAACTTGTCCGAGTGTAGCTCCAGCTTCTCCTTGTTCCTCAAGCATACCCTGAACACTCCGTTCCTGGACAATAGGTGGTTTAGTTCAAGATATACCAGGGGCATTTACCCCCCCCCCCCTCCGGGGGGGGGGGGGGGGGTATTTTGGGATCTTATGGGGAGAGAAAGATGAAAAATTAGAATTTAACGTCAAGTTTTCACTTATACCAAAAATGCATTTTTTTGCCCATATAAGATGAATTTATTTGTCCCCTATTACGCGAAAACCCCTTATACAAATTTTCTCTCCGTGTAAACGTTACTTTTATACTGGATAAAGAAAACTATCGTAGCGCAGCAAACATGCAATCGGCATAATTAAGTATCTAATTCTAAGAAATAACATGTTTTATGAATCTACTTCAAATTAATTTTTGAGGGTTTCAGACATGTGAAAGGAAATTTAATTAGCTGTTAAAAAATACCTTATTATAAACCATCATTGGCTGTCCTACGCCTCCTTTAAGAGGCACTTGCAACTTCACCACGAAGGAGGTGGACTTAGTCTTCTTGCTGGTCCCATCCTTCAAGGTCTTCCCGGTCCCGTTCACGGACATGAAGGTCTTCCCAGTCTGATGGTTGAACCCGGTGGTGGTGAGAGACATGAACTTGACAGGGAGAAACTCCTTTCTTCTCTGTTTACATATCGTCTACAACATACAAAACTTATAAAAGGGAAGGGAATACCAACACAATTTCACAGGGTGTATAATTTTAAGGAATAGGGAAAAAATAAAAAAATGGACATCAAAAGAGACGTTTTTTCATCCTTTCATCACTTATATCCCCCTAAAAAAATTTCGTTTCCCCCCAATTCAGCGAGAAAAAAAACCTTTATTGTTTGTTTCACTCCACGAAAACATACTTCACTTCTATGGGGAAAAATGATTTTATGAAGAGAATGATTATTCAAGAAATTTTACACCCCTTTTATTTAAATTAGGGGGGTATTTTAAAGAATTGCCAAAAAATACTTGTTTTCCAAACTCGGTTAAATTCCTTAAAAAGTTCCGAAAAAAACTGAGAGATGGAAAATAATTGATCAAGAATTTCTGCAGCTAAGCAAAAATTTTATCAAAAAGATTATTTAGTCATTGTGTATTTGAATCAGAATAATGGACTTCAGTTTTCATCCACTTTCGTTTAAATACGAAAAATTGAACTGGTATATACCCAAACGATAAAAATCATTAACATCAGTAGTAGGGGATATAAAGATTCCGACTAATCCATTATCTAAAAGTGTTGGCAAATTATTTCTCAGATTTGAAAGTAAAAAAGCACTTCATTACAGTCCCAACTAGTTTTTTAGTAAACAAACATAGAAATTTTCATTATCATCAACTTTCAAGGTAGCAATTGTGAATAGTTTATGGCACTTATTAATGTATCCTGTGTCCGAATTTAATGAAAATAAGCCACGTTTTAAATCCCCCAAAACCGGTATTAATTGAGCGGCGGCTTAAATCATGAAAAATTTAATACTTTAAGTGGAACCAACCATATTTGAGCCGCGGCTTAAGTTTGAGCCATGTCGCTGAACTATCTACTGAAAATAAAAGGGACTGTACCTTGTGATTGGTCCAATCTGTTTTCTGGCAAGCAGCACCACAATACCATTCAAGGAAGCATCCTTCAAAAATTATTTCCAGTCAATTTTTTTTTCTTTGTTTTAAATAATAATAACAAATTAAAAATGAGCGGTTCTTAAACTTTCTTTACAACAAAGCGACCGCTAAAATAAACACTTTTCACATTCTGCGCTTTTCGCTAAAAGGCGCAAACTTAATTCTTAAAAAGAAGTGTTCACAGTAATTCTATCCTATGTTTCTATAGATTGTGCTACGATACATTTAAGGTAGTTGGCTCTGAGTGTTACCCCCTTAACCCAACTTAAGAGGGGCATGAACGATTCACCTGAGCTGGGAACTTTAAAATGGATAACCTTTAATCCCAACCACTAAATCCGAATATCCACTGTGGAAACTTTTAATTTTAGTCCCTAATCCACTCTTTTTTCCCTCATGGATATCCTTATATTATTTTCTCCAATGAGAGTGCAGGAATATAGTTCGAAAATTGTATTGACCAATAACAGCCTTAAAAATAAATTCTATCCCATGAGAGAAATTCGCAATTTCTAACAAATAAAGAATTTGTTTTCGGCCATTTTATAACTTATTCGTTGAAGAAAAATATTAAAAAACAGGTTTAAGATTCTTTTGTAACCAATTTTAACTAATGTATTAATAAATAAACGTGTGAGAAATTAAGTGAGGGCCCTTTCAGTCCAGAAAATGAACCAATCTGGCATTCCTAGAATCCAATTTGTTGATCTAAATATTTAATCTCAAGACTAACATAATCTTTAGATTATGTTAGTCTCGAGATTAGCAAAAACAGAGGATTAAGCATTAATCCTGATATCCACCATTCTTAAGTTCCCAGCTCTGTTCACTTAAACCCTTCATTTGATCATTTATGTTGGAAGGTTTTTTGTTTTAACAATTTCCTCCATTATTTCTGAAGCAGAAGAACGCAAATTTCTTTATACACCCAACTAAAAATTATTAATTTTCAAAGGGAGAACTGTGCGTATCTCTTGCATCCGACAAGGAATTATTAATAGAGTTGTGAATCGGACATGACAATGCGCCCCTTAAAGCCAATTTTTCATTTGATTTTTTGGGATCTGAAGATGACAAATTTAAATATCCTTTTGGCTTGATTAATTCTAAATTTAATGCTAAATCCCCTTTTTTCATTTTTAGCGATTTCTCCCTTTAATATTCTTGTATTTAAAAAATGCTGATTTAGAATAAATTTAAGTATAACCTGTGCAACGATTTTCTGCAGATTGTTTGCAGTGTGCACATTTCTTGAGGAGATTATTCTGTTTGGCGATCTCCCGTTCTTCCTTGAGGATACCCTTCTCCCCCTTCTTGAGTATCCTGGCCAGGGCCGGGTAGTACTGAGCCAATCTCGAGGCGTTAACACCGTCATTATCCTTTAGACAGGCGAAGGAAATATTTGCCCCTGAAATTTCCTAAAATACCCAAGGTGTGTTTTTTAAGTGAATTCTTTTTTTTAAAAACTAAATTAATGGGAAAGAAAACAAATTCTAAAGCTAAGATTATCTACGCAAAACGTATACAATTTTTAATGGGAGGGGGGGGGGGCATTTCTGAAGTTTGTATTTCCCTGCCTTGATATTTGGATCAGCACCATGATTGACGAGAAGCTCGACGAACTCCAGGTTCCCTGCCATCACGCATATGGACAAGGGCGGAACTCCGAACCTGTTCCGCGCATTAGGATCCACACCCTTACTCAGCAGTAGCTTAGCCATCTCGTAGGTTACAGAGTTCCCCTGGGACGTCAGGCAATGGTGGAGCGGGGTATATCCGGCAATATCATGGAGGTTCGTGACGTTGGCCCCAAGCTCCAGCAATTTATTTAGAATTTTCATGTGCTCCATTCCCGCCTTACCGTGGAGCTTCTCCGTGTTGTAACGGTATTCGCTCCCAGGAACGAGGGACCTGGCTCCAATTATTGTGTGGAACACGGCACCAACGCAGAGAAGAGTTTCCCGCATTTCAAGTCTTTTCTTTAGCTCCTCTTCATTCAAACTGGACAGAACGCTATTTAGATGAAGAAAACCATGATTTTAAAATAAGTATTTATATTCTATTTCTCATTTTAAGAACATTTCGTGAACTATTAAAATGAAAGTAAACATCGTAAAAATGAGAAAATTATCAAATTAAAAATATGAACTGGCCTATTAACCTCCGTGATGAAGATGTCGTAGTCCCCCTTGTATAGGCTGATCATCCACGGGGAGAAGTGGTTGAACCTTCTCTCATGAGGTCGATAATCCATCCAGATATCCCACTTAGTCCTGGGAGGGAAAATAATAAATCCAGGGCTGAAAAGTGTGGAAAAATGGATATCGAGATCAGTGCTGGATCTTCTCTTTTAGTTAATTTTAAGATAAATTAGTCTTTAGTTTGTATCCACAAGAAACCGGAAAAATTGAAATTTAAATGAGTGAACTCTCATTGGTCGGAAACTGGAACGAAGATAAGGGTGGATTTAAAAGAAAATTAAAAGTGTTTACATTGGATATTAAGATTATACGATCGGAATTAAAGGTATCCAATTCTAAAGTTTTCAGCTCAGAGGTCGGAATTTACGTATAAGACGACTCGAGATCTAAAACGTCTGAACTTACAATCTAAACCTTTTCAGTGAAAGCGATTAAGTGCTAATCCATACAAATATCTTATTCCGAAGCAGATTATATCAACTTTCTGATTTAGCCGATTTTTTAATTGGAAAATATACCTAGTAATAAGAAAGATTAAAATTAATTTTTCGAACGGAATTAAAAAACACAGTGCTTAAAATTCATTTAGTATTGATGCGGATCCGGATTTGGATCCAGATCATGAACATTTCTTTTAGATTTAATGATTTTATAATTTTCAAATTATTTGTCTTCCTTTTCTTTGCTAAAACTTGATGGACTATTCAGAGATGAGGAACTTTTGATTTTCTCTTTTATTTCAGCAGTTCAGATTTAGGGTTTAAGAGCAAACTCATTTAGTTTGCAGTTTTTGGTTGATATTTTGCCCCTTGGATCCTGATCCGTGGATCCGCATATTTTTGAGGATACAATGACTCCGGATCCTAAGCACTGTAGCAAATGAATGCTGCAGTAGGGTTTCTTTACCTCAATACTTCGGCTTTGTATCCTTTGAGAGGGGTTGATGGTGGGTTTTCGTAAGTTATCGGTACTTTCAATTTTCCAGATTCAATATCTAATAACAAATATTTTTCAAAGGCCAAAAAGAAAGAGCAGTGACGAAGTATTTGACGTGGTTTGATATGTAACTTAATGGCAGTGCCCGATTTACAACAGTACCTTTAAAATTTTTGTCTGATGTAGCATGAGTTAGATATCATGGTTTTGAGCGCTGAAATCTGATTTCTTTACTAATGTGACATGCGCATTCTACTGCAGGAAAACATAAATGAATTTTCAGAATTTAACTTTTACGTAAAAAACTAGAAAAACAATAATATAAATATATCCACATAATTGATCATATTAAGATTTCAAAGGTTCTTCTTCTTTGAACTTTTTAGAAATATGTAAAAATTACAAAGTATCAAAAATATATCATATGAACAATATTAAATAATATATGATATCATATAAAGCTATTTTTTGCAGCACTCTCCAAAAAATGTTATGGAATAATTATGTGCAATTACGTTTTCAACAAACAACCAAAATTGTTGTCTATAAATGGAATATATATGGCTTCTTCAGAATTAGCGAACCTTTTTATTTTTCGTTTAAACAAAAAATGACAGAATGGATTTTTAAAAAAAAACAGCAGAAATATCTAAGACAGAAATGTTGAAAGTAAAATTATAGGAATAGATTTAATTAATACTTTACATCTTAAAAAAAAATTACATCTTGAATGAATGGTTATCCATAGAAAAGTAAACAAACAATGTTTTCACTGATTTGAATTTAAAGTTCTTAAAACAGAAGAGTTTTAACACGTTTATATATTGTTCCATATCGGAGTAGTTTCCATCCTTAATTCTTCCAAAGGAAGCGTTTCGGATCCGGATCCGGTCGGATCCGTATCATTTGGTCGGATCCGGATCCGTATCAGGAAACGTTGATATGGATCCGGGTAGCGCCAAAAATTAACCAAAACCATGGAATAAGTAAATCAAAATGGTTCGTAAATGTATTATTTACATGACGAAAATTTTTCAAAATTATCTTTAATAATTTAATGTTAACATTTATATAATAGTAATGACGACATTTTTAACTTTAGGATTACTCAGCGGCAAATGCTCACATGGCGCAAATTTCAAATATATAAAGTATTCATTTTTAACATTTAATAGGGAAAATCCGATTCACAGAATCAAAAGTTACCTCGGATCCGGATCCGTATCAGAGTCAGGATCCGGATCCGCATCAAAATGATACGGATCCGAAACACTGTCCAAAGGTACCATCTTTGAATCGATGGTCAATTAAAACTACGCAGAAAACTATAGACTTTTTTTTTAGTGAAGCTATCTGAGTTAATCCTAACATGGCTTTGTTGTAAAATAAACTATAGAATGTTGTTACAGGACAAAATGATAATAAATAACAACAATCAAAATCGGAGAACAAATTTGTAAAAAAATCTCGTTTTTAAAAACTAACCTTGGAAAGTTTGACTCAATTCTCTTTCCCCATCAGCTCTGCCCCGCAGGGCATCATTCACCTAAACAACAAGGTTCTGCTCAAAACAAAAAGATTAAATTTCGGATGTATGCTATTTATTTTAAGTATTTCTTGCAGTTTCCTTGCTTGTTTATTATTATTTCTATCTGTGTGTAAGTCAGATCATAACTAGTGAACCACTTGACGGAACTGCCTCATTTATTTAACGAGTATTTTGCAGTAGAACAAACGGGAATACTCTTAGGGTGGTAAACAAAGCTTGGTTTCCAAGCTATAATTTTAAAAATGGTGAAATAAGAAAATATTAACTCTGACGGGATTTTCCTTTCAGTCTTTAAATTCAGGATGAATCTACGGTGATTTCCTGTTGTATGAGTTTTGGAAGAATAAAGGGGGGTCAGGGGAGGGGGGTCCACAAACCGTGTACTAGGACGGACTCTGAATCGATACTTTCCAACAAAATTTAGAAAGCGTCAATTATACAGGCAACCCCTGTAGTTAGAAAATGTGCTTACCGCCGCCGATTTGTTTCCTTTGAGCATTTGATAGAAGTTGTCCGGATTATTTTTAGCAAGATCACAAACATTTGCGCCGAGATTGTTCATAGATTCCATCATCTCCTTTATACCTTTCTCCAGATCAGAGGACATGATTTAAAGATTGAATTTTCTGAAACAAAAACTTGTAAAACAGTTGGTAAATTCCTAGAAAGCAATTTTTGGACCACCCCCCTCTCCCCTCCTTACAATTTTGTACATGGTTATCATTTACATGCACATAGATATCTTTGGTCATGTGGCCGCAGCGCCCGGCGCCCTAGCCGCGGCGCTGGATCCACTAGCCTGTCCTAGCCACAGCCCTCGGCCCCCTAAACTGTACTAGCCGCAGCCCTGCCCACAAATTGTCGTGCCTAACCAAATAATTTTGCTGAAAAACAAGTGGTCATGTACAAAATTGCTAGAAGGGGGGGTCCAAAATCGTTCTCTAGGACAGACCCAAACAATTGAGTAGTACCGACAAAACAAGACTAACTATATTAGTACTAAAGATAAGTATAATTCTAATGTTGATAACAAAATAAAAATAGAATAAGAACAGAACGTGAGCGAAATATGAATTAACTCTCTGTTTATCGAAATATTTATCATCTGTAGGTGAAATTTTATCCTAACTGCAAGTGCAGCGTTAGAACATGAATCCTCAGAATTATTAATACATTCATATTTTCCATTTAAAACAAGTATTAATATAGAAGATACAAATGTGCAAATTACTCTATTCTTTCTCTTATAATACCCTGGAAACAGTTTAAAACACAAAAATATCAGATTTTAGTTTCCCCGAATCTACAATGAAAGTCGGCATTACAGTTCTGAGAAATTAGGAGCGCCTACGCTGAGTTTAGTACAAGACACTAAAGGTTTTGTGTGACTGTCAATCGTGAATGGAAGCGACCCCGTCTAGAGTACTATCGTGAGAACAGTAGGTTTTGTGTGAACATGTAAAGCAGGTTTTCCTTCCTAACACCCCAAATACGAAGACGACTTTTAATTTTTTTACTTACAGAGAGTGTCGTATTAATTGAACTATGAGAACTATGATCGATTGATCTAATATTCAAGTAGACAAAAGTTTATTTTTAAAAAGTGCTCATCCGGATAATTATGAAAAGTGAAGAAAATTTAACCTTTTAGTTAGTTCAAATGAACATATTTTAGCATAAATAGCAAAAGATTCTCCCTATAATCTTCTCCGTCCTTCTCCCCATCAATTTCTCCATCCTTCTCCCTATCTTCTCCGTCCTTCTACCCATCAATTTCTCCATCCTTCTCCCTATCTTCTCCATCCTTCTCTCTATCCTCTCCATCCTTCTCCCTATACTCTCCATCCTCCCTATCTTCTCCATCTCCCTTTTCTGCCTTCTCCCTATCTTCTCATCCTCTCATCCTTCTCCCTATCCTCTCCTTCCTTAATCCCTATCCTCATCTCCATCCTTCTCCCTTTTCTCTCCAGCCTTCTCTCTATCCTCTCAATCTTTCTTCCTATCCCCATTCTTCTCCCTATCTTCTCCATCCTTCTTCCTATCTTCTCCATCCTTCTCCTTATCCTCCTCTTACTTCTCTCTATCATCTCCATCCTTCTCCCTATACTCTCCATCCTTCTCCCTATCCTCTCCATCCTTCTCCCTATCTTCTCCATCCTTCTCTCTATTTTGATCCTTTTCCCTATCCTCTCCTTCCTTCTCCCTATCCACCCCAACCTTCTCCTTATCTTCTCCACCTTCTCCCTATCCTTTCTATCCTTCTCCCTATCTTCTCCATCCTTCTCCCTATAGATCTCCAGCCTTTCCTCCCTGACCCTATCCTCTCATTCCTACTCCCTGTCATCTCCATCATTCTCCCTATCCTCTTGATCCTGCTCCCTATCTTCTCCATCCTTCTCCCTATCCTTTACATCCTTCTCCCTATCCTCTCCATCCTTCTCCCTATCCTCTCCATCCTTCTCCCTATCCTCTCCATCCTTCTCCCTATCCTCTCCATCCTTCTCCCTATCCTCTCCATCCTTCTCCCTATCCTCTCCCTCCTTCTCCCTATCCTCTCCATCCTTCTCCCTATCCTCTCCACAGGGGCAGATACAGGAATTTTTTGGGGGGAACATTTTCTAGGCAGCATTTCTATTGATGTTAACCCCCCAAACTGAAATATTCCTACTGAGGGGGCAGAGGCGCAAGGCTCGCAACTAGTACTTTTGCTAGGGGGGGCAAAATATGTTTTTTGTAATGGTCTGGGGAGGGTGTAGTGGGGGGGGGCTTGCCCCCTGTTTAGAAAAATTTTCATAATAAAAGTGCTTTTTTAAGGGTTCGATGTCGAAAAAGGAAATTTTCGGTTGTTGCATGCAGATTTGACTGTGTTCAATTCAAATAGTTTTTTCTTGTGTTTTTAAAAAATGTATACTTCCAACAACTTTAAAATTAACGATATGAGTCAATCAATTCTTTTCATGTGTGTGCGGAGCGACAAAGAAAATTTGTTAAGTACCTTGTTTAATTACAGATATAATTACTAGACATAATCATTTATATTCTGAAAAAAAAACATCAAAAGACATTTAATCTTAATCATCTACATACTGTTACGTTTTCTCCTGAAGTTATTGAATTTATGATTGATCATTTTATCCAACATTCATAATCTTATTTCATTTTCGATTTTATAGAAGTTCTTTCAAAGAAGATAAACAGGTTACAGCTACTTTAACATTCTTTTTGACGAAGCAACAAACATTGTGACTAAGAATAGCGTCTTTATAGAGTTGTGATTTAGAATCTGACTTGAACATTATCAAGCCGAAAGGAGAACTCAGATATGCTTGTGACTCAAGTTACAATGAGGTCTTTAAATATTTAAATTGTATCAATTGTTACTTAGAAATGATTGTGAATTATAATTTGAGACTTAGAAAGAGTCTTAGACAAAGCTTTGTCGCCAAAAACAGGCTTAGACATATTTGTGACTTTTGCTTGTGACTGAGAATGTGTGTTAGACATAGCTAAGCCTTACAAAACTTAGGTATAGTTTTGTCTCGGAGTTATGGTTTAAAAAAGTGTCTTAGATATTATTGGGTGTGAAAAGTATGGCTGTGAGGTAATTGCAACTTAGAACTGTGACAAACAATGTGTATCATTCATAATTGAGCCCCAAAATTTTAACTTAGAATTGATTGGGACTGAGAAAGTGTTTTAGCGACTCAGAAAGTGTTTTAGACAAAGCTGTGACTTATATTTTAACTTAGAAAGTGTCTAAGACACAAATTGATTTGAAAAGCAAGACTTTAAATTATTGTGACTTAGAACTGTGACCTAGAATGATATGATGGCTTTGAATATAATTAAGCCATTAAGCCAGACAACTGGGAATTAGACATAAATGTGACTGAAACGGTGTTTCAGATCTCATTAAGACTTAGAATTGAGAGTTAGAATGGGTCTTAAACACAAGGAAGAATGTGTCTAATGCATTTTTGTTAAAGTATCTTAGACATAGTGACTTAAAAAGTGTTTAAGACATGAGTATAGTCATATAGTCGTGCATTTTAATAAGTCTTTGACAAAGTTGTGACTTAGAAAGCTTCTCAAAATAATTTTGTCTCAAAAGCATGGTTTTGTCTTAATTCTAAGGCTCATTCTAATTGAAGGTTGTAAGAAAAATTCTTATTTTGGAGACATGCAATTATGTCTAAGACACTTTCTAAGTCACCAACCCAGCAACTTGCACAATTTATCTTTTCCTCTATGTTTCAACAATTTGGCAACACTAGATGCAAACGATAAATTCATAACATTTATTATTCTGTTATCTATAAAATAATACATCACAATCTTCTGGTAAGAAAATAATTACTAATAAAATCTATAAAATGTATTTTTCAGGTTTAATTTAAAATTTTATATACCTTTGTTGTCGCAAAGGAACAAGATTCTGACGATGAACAGATAGACAAGGTATAATCCACGAATCAAAATCGATAATAAATGTTAATGGTTGACAACCTTATATATTGTAATTATCAATACATGAGTTAATGCCAAGGTTTTAATAGTTTCCAGGAGAGATATATCCTTGTTGGGTTGGATAGGAGGGGTTGTATCCATAAGACGAGCCATAAGTGTTATATGGAGCAACATTGTGTCCATTTGACGGCTTGCTTCCATAGGAGTTTCCATAAGAGCCTCCATAGTTAAATGGCTTGCTTCCATAGGAGTTTCCATAAGAGATTCCATAGGTAGACGGCTTGCCTCCATTGGAGTTTCCATAAGAATTTCCATAGGTTGTCGGCTTGCTTCCATAGGCGTTTCCATAAGACCTTCCATAAGTTAATGGCTTGCTTCCATAGAAGTTTCCATAAGAACGTTCATATGAATTTCCATAAGTTGAGGGAGAGTTGCCATATTCCGGGGTAGAATAAGTAGATCTTTTCTTTTTATAGCCCTTCTTATGGTAGCTGAAATAATTATTGTTTTTAGCATTTAACAAGTTGAAATATAATATTAGACTCACCTAGGAGATCCATATCCACTATAGCCATAGCCATGTAGAGGATATCCATATTCGTCACAATCATAGCCATAACCACCATATCCATGTCCACCATATCCATGGTCAATACCTCCATATCCATAACCATCATGACCGTAACCATGGTAGTCATCGAGACCATAATATCCATTATCGTACCCATAGCAGTTCACCTGAAAAATAAAAAAAAATATAAATCATGCAGTAATCACGTTATCACGAGTTTTCAATTCAATTCATAAAAGTCGTCAATTGCAGTTCTCAAGTTCTGGATTTTTTTATTTGTGCAGAGACACAAATTAAAAGAATTTATCATAAAATTAATAAAACTTTAAAGACTTCAAAACTTGAATTATGTTAAACTTAGAAATATATTTAAAATAAAAAACGATTTAAAACGCTCGTTTTTCGCTAGTTTTTGCATATAACTTCTTCCAGGGTAAATATTTAGATTTTGACCCTGAAAAAAAAAACATAAAACAACCCGAAAAACGATCCACGTTGAAAGCACAACACTATTGTATAGCAGAAAATATAGATACAGAAAGAGATCTTTTTTAAAGCTTAAAACATTTTTCCAGAAACTTAGCCTTAAAAATATATATATAATATATATATATGTATAAATAATATTAATATAAACATATAAATATATATACAAAGTAGTAATCTCTGTTTGACTGTTTAGAGGTCACATCTACAGGACAGATTGACCTCAACTCAACTTCTGATTAGGGAACTCGGTAGAACCCAAGGTTATAATACAAGGAAAGTTATTTCAGAGCTGTACGCATCTTTTGTACTGCAGTGTACTCTTCTCTGGGCGGTAATGTAAACACAAGACGGATGTCGAAGCCTGACAAGGTATCCATCTTTCAAATTAAAAATCAATAAAATATTCTGATCGTAGGAAACTATTATGTTAATTATCAAAATTATCAAAATTTAATGCTTTTAACCTCCATAGGATACTGAACGAACACTGATGCATCTATTCTTGTTTACAAATTCCGCACAGAGAGAACTGGTTTCAATATGTACGCAGAGTAAACGTAACTGTAATTAACTTTCCCTGCATTATAACCTTGGTAAAACCACGGAAATGTTCTTGGCTTGGTTTAACAATTTCAAGTTTAGTGAGCTGAATGTTAAAGAGAAAAATTAGTTACCAGGCAAAGCTGGGTTGCCAAGGTAAATTATAATATAAACACACAGAATTAAACTAAAAGAATACCTGATATAAGATTGAGAAGGATAAAACACTCACAAACAAGCTGAACATGATGTAGGCTGGGAATGAATTGTAAATACTCACATTAGAATAAGAATTTCATTTTTATACCCAACTAAAGTGTACTGCATTGTTTACAAATAAAGTTTCTGAGAGACTGAAAATAATTAAATTAAATATGCAGTACACATTAGCTTGTACATTGTAGTGCAGTACAGCAGATCGAAAGTAATTTTTTACTACAGTTTCTTGGGGTAATATCTTTTTTTACATCTAAACATTTATTTCGTGAATAGTAATTGATGGCATCTAATGGCATACATAATAATTAATTCCACTATTTTACAATTATTTCCGAATTTAAAGATTTATTATTAAAATATGATAAAGGAACTCTGCCTTCTATATTTAAACTTTCCACTATTTTACAATTATTTCCGAGTTTAAGATTTATTATCAAAATATGATAAAGGAACTCTGCCTTCTATATTTAAACTTTGCTTTTCTCTTTGTTTGTAAAATAAAACGTCAAAACGGCTGAACCGATCAGGCCCAAAATTTTGTGGGACCTCACGATCCCAGGAAAGTTTCATGGCTAGGAAAAATGAAAAAAATGCCTTAAAAAATTTGGATTTTTTTAAATCCACGAAACAAATTGCTAAAAGAGCAACAATTATAAGTTAGAAATGTACATTCAAGTTCCTTGTTAACTATGACTTGATAATGAAGACGTGTCTAAACGGAGAAAGATTACACAAATCTGAAGCCTCTCTGTTGGTATATATAAAACATATAAAGAATATATATATGAATATAGTAATAGATAAACATATATATGATTTTACCAATATGACAAATTTAAAATGTATAATCTTTATTTATATATTTATCATAATAAACTCTATTTATTTATTCATTTATATAATGAATTTAGTCATAGATTGAAAGGCTATGATAAGTTGTATCTCATGAAGTCTTATATAACTAACCTTGTAGAGTCAGATTGAGCATGGATGTACATGTCAGTTCTGTGAATAAAACAAAACCGGATTATCGATATTTTATGAACAACATTTTAAACCAAAAAAATTCAAAAATATTTTTGGATCATTGAAAAAAAATCCCCGAAACCAAATATTAAAAAAAAATATTTAAAAACTTGCTGGGAAAATTTTTATGCTATTGTTTTCCATTTCATAAAATTCATTAAAAATTGAATGAAATACCACATAAATTCCGAAAAAATTTAGAGTGGAAATTTGCAGTAAATGTTATATCAAGTTATAACCTTAGAACTGTTACGGCTTCAAAAATGCAAAAAATTGGCTAGCAGAACTAGGAGAATTTTGTGGTTAAATGAAGATTTTTTGTGTTGTTTATTTTACACTTTTTGTTAGATTATATATTTTGATTGTACGCTATATCCATAGAGAAAAGAATATATATTAGAGGGGAATTTACTAGGAGAAGTGTAAAACGGCCATTTTGTTGTACTGTTTCCATACTGCAGGTGTACTTCACATATTTATGCTATATAACCTTTTGGGCCCTGGAATATCATTTTATATAAAATCGAAAATTATTGTTAAAAGAAAACCAAATTATGAAATAGGTTTTATAATTGACCAATGATCATTTCACATAGACTCTATGCCTTTCACTTTACAAACGATGATTTTCCGTTATAACTATAAATCAAATGATGTTTTTTATTCACCTAATTCATTATAAAGTTTATTTAACAGCTTAAAAAATTCGAAATTGAAATGAATAGTCTAGGGAACATACTGTATTAATGTATTCTACTGCATATAATTTGTGAACATTTACATGATTTGTACACTTTGAACTCCCTTTCAGGCTGAAAGGGACTGGAAAAATTCATACCGAGAGATTCTTTAAATTCCCCTCTAATATATATTCTATTCTCTATGGCTATATCACGTCAAATTAAAGTAAATTTAAATCTCCTATGTTTTCAATCCTACTTCTAAGAGTTGAAGAGTTATTGAGAAAAACTAATTTTAATTTCTAATATGTAACTAAATAAATTTGCTTATCTCATACTCATCTTGCATAAAATTAAAACTAGAGGAGCTACGAGGTAACAAAGTTGAACCTGTAATGTCGCATAAATTTTACTTTCTCCTTCCGTTCTATTTGTAGTTAGCTTTGCGTGATTTTTATCTCTATATTCTTCTTAATACATCAATATCTCGTTCTCGGTTCGTGCCCCCCCCCCCCCCCCCCCCATTGTTAAGGCCCTGGCCCTTTTGCCCGTAATTTGGAGAGTGGCATAAGAGAGCTAAAATAGAGAGAGAGAGAAATGCCGGTACTGACTCGGACCGTTGCAATTGTCGGCCTTTAAGCCAGAATCCAGATATATATTCCCCTTCCCCCGGGTATATATATATATAATATATAGTAGTAGAGTAGACTGAGTTGTAGTGTAGAGTAGGCTTGATTCCTTTCAGCCAAGGTAGATTAGAAATCAGCTGTTACACGAACCTCGGAATTGTTTTCTTTTTGAATAATGTAAATGTCATATTTTCTAAAATGTTATATGTTTGATAATTTTAGCAAGTTTAGACCTAAACTTTCCGGAAATGATGTCTGTTGTTGCAATCATCTTATTTCAGCAGGACCAAAAACTGTTAAATGTTATTTTACCAATATATGCTATGTACACAGGATTTCAAAATAAGTGTGAATTTAGAACCGTCTGCAAAATACGTGGCGCAAGTAAGAAATTAATTTCTACAGTTCAGTTATCAGTTTAAAAAAAAGGTTTTCTGTAAAAATTAATTCATACTGTAACATTTTTTAACCCTGTCACGATTGGGGGAGGGGGTGTTTTCCACCCCCCTGGTTTTTTTTTCGAAATAACTTTAAAAATCAGAAATGGGTAATAACTGTTTTATTAATTAAGGTACAGGGCATAATTCATTTTAAGAGCCCTTGAAAAATGGATGTAATAGCATGTGTCACATGTTAATATTTGTCTAAAGTAAAACATTTATTTTTGAACATTTTTCCGACTTACTTTTTGAACTTTTTTAAATACGCCCTTACCATTGAATATATATAGGTATATTTTTTTTTTAATGAGTAGGCCTTGAAAAGTTGGACTATGGACATGTATCACACTCCCTTATCTCAACTCTAAATAATAAGGGGGAAACCTCCCCCGCCATCTATGTAAGACAAAAAAAAAGTCCACTTGAGACAGAATAAAAGAAATAATTCAAACACGAAAGAACTTCAAGGAAGCGTGAATTAATTCGAAGAGACTCTCCGTTTTCAGCGTGGCATTTACAACAGAGCCTTTATAAGCTTTCTTTAATAAAAATTAATGAGAAATTTATTATCTTTTAAACAATGGTTTTTAACGGTATTTCTCTATTAAAATGTGTTGCGGATTTCGTGCTACAGAAACAACGAGAAAAATCATATAATGTTATTGATCACATTATTGATCAGCTGTATAGTTTGTGGAAGGTTGAACCATATCATATTGGTAATAATACGATGGAGGCCATGCTCTTTGCAGTACATAGCAACATTTAATAACGTCCTCATCAGTTCTAAAACAAAATGATCAAATAAAAACAGAATCATTCATCAATCAGTTAAGGTTTAAAGGGTACCAACTGTGAATTGGACATCACATAAGAGGTATGATTCATTTGGTGAACTGTCCCATTTTGACATGTAGTCTGTTCGTATACTGTACATTGTACAGTGTACAATAAAGCTGCTCAATATGTCGGTACCGTACTTCAAGTTTCCGTGGCATGCCTGCACAGTATCTTTAAGATTTTCTTTTTAAAAAATTACCCTATTCAGAAAATGTTCGAGACCATGCATCTTTCAATAAAGACAATGTCATCACTGTTAATATTCGAATTAATTGAAAAGAAAAACTGTACACAGCTGGTTTAAGCATATGTTAAAATCTAAGACTGAGTCACGAAAATCTAACTTGATTTTTATTATTCAAAGAAACAGTAAAATAGTCAGATTTACAACGGTTTCCTTGGAATCTTTGTCTGATCAAGTTTAAGTTAGATATTTATGTTTTTGTTTTTTAAAACTGATAATTTTCATCTACAAAAGTGACTTAGCATTTTTTGCTTCAGAATTAATGGAAAATCAATTTGAATAAAACATTTTAGACGACGGTATCTTTCATTAATAAGATGAATGTTTCAAGGTTACCGGTGTGATTCGGAAACGCCTAATTTTTATACTTTAAATAGCCGGGCGGGTCACTTAAAGTTAAGATTTGTGTAGGACTAAATGAAGATTAAACTCAAAAATAATTAAAAATAAAAGTTTGAAAAAATTAAGATATGGCTGCATGTCAACATTTGAATTATGTTCACTGCAAAAGACCCTAAAAAAAAAGAATAAATTAAATCATTATCTTTACGGAGAGTGTTGTCAAATTTTCAACTTTAAACATACTTTTAAATTTTGTTCTATCATTTAGTGACAAAAATGGTTGTAATAATTTTTTCAGAGAATTCATAAAAAATGATAGATGTGATACTTATTTGTTCCAGAATACTTCTTTTAGTTTTCAGGTATAGTTTAATAATTATTCTAAATTTCCAAAAGTAGGGATAAGCCTCAAAAGTTTCATTAAGAAGGATGAGTGGGAAACAGAATGAACGATACTTTACCATTTTAAAATTAAATCACTCAGATTCAGACAGCTATAAAAAGGTGCATCAGTTTAAAAAAATAAGTCGACTTTGAGCGCATCAAATTAAAGTAAATTTAAGAGCTTGAAACCACTGTGAGATGTATACATATAGGTGTAAAGGGTATTTCACATAGAGTATTACTCTATGGTATTTCACATAGATAAAGATATAGATTGCAAATAAGACGACATTTCTCAACTTACCAGATATAAATGTACAGAGATGTTTAAAATATATTCCAAAATTAAAGATTACCCAGGTTGGTTGTGAACATTGGCTGTTCTTATGTCATTGAGTACATTCAATGTGCATAAGTTCTGTAGATAGAAATTGTGTGTACATAAGCTATCTATGTTTATTTATTAATCTATGGTATTTCATGTTGTGAATCGTTAAAAATGTTTATTATTTAATGACATATTACGTTATGATTAAACTTTTCCTAATTCCTAAACTTTTATTAATAAAAGTAACATTCAACACACTTTAATATTATTTGAGAGTGCATTGCATGGACATTTAAAAAAAGCATTCTTTAACGAACTCTTCACGGGCAGCCGTAGTACATTTGAATTTCCGAGCCGGGTCAACCTTTCCGGTCCCAGTTTGTACTCTACCTAGCTTTATGGACAGGACTAGCCGGTGCTACAAGGTTGACGTTGTCAGGCTTTATGTTTCATACGGGTTGAATTTACTTTTACTAAAGGGGCAGAGGTACGTGACTCTTGGGGTTTAAACATTTGTGTAGATTTACATTAAGAAATAAGAAAAGAGGTATAAAGCGAACCATGAAAATAATATTTCTTACAAAAAACATTTAATATTAACAAAATGGCTTTACCCTATTTATAAAACCCGGTTTCCGCGACATTGGGTTTTTATACCGATACCCTGCCTTAAGCTTTGGCCTTGGGCTCTGTTATACGGTAACCGCCAAAAAAGTTCGATGAACAAAAGTTTTCGGGAATAAAGTCCTAAATTTTGGCACTAAAAAAGTCCTTAAAATAAAAAGTCTTTGGATTTAAAGTCTTGCCACATTGAGACTTTTTTTTCTAGGACTTTTTTTCTGGTTCCAGTATGATTTTATACAAAAATATCCACGGAAACAAGTTCTATTTTAGTAGAAAACCCATGGGAACAAAGGATGTTTACAACCATGCAAAAAAAAGTGGCAATTAATATAAAAACCCTTGGACATATTCAATATGCAGATGCATAGAAAAAAAGTCCTTTTTATAAAAACGTTTTAGATTTGACCTCATTTTTACAAGACTTAGGACTTTTTTCTTTAGGACTTTAATTCCTGTGATCTTATTTCCTGAGACTTAAATGGCAGCTCCCATATTTTTTTAGGATAAAAAAACCAGGAATCTAAAACTCAGGACTTTATTTCCAGTGACATTTTGTCCTAGGATTTCAGAAAATTGTGACTTTTTTTACCAAATTTTTTATTTCCAGGTTTTTTTTCCAGAAACTTTTTTTCCTGTGACTTTCTTACATAGATTCCTGTTATACATTGTTATTGACTTTACTATAGGAATAAGAGTACATTGTACAATGTATTGTACTTGTACGTATAATTTGGTTAATAAAATATATTTGTCGGTGTATGAATTCTGTACAAAGGGAATGGGATACATCTGCATATAGTATCTAGAAGACGTTGTCCATTGTACAATATATGTACAATGTATTGTATACAATTACCTAATTATGTACAAGTATACTCTATAAAACGTTGTCATGATTGTGGACTTCTTTATTCCTTTGAGTATGAAATTTCGCTCAAGATTGTAATTAGTTACTGATTTTTTTTCTAAAATTTTCCCCGAAACATTTACGATCATTCTTCAAAATGGAAAAACTTTAAATTTATAAAAAAAATGAAGAGGATGATTCTTTAAAAGAAATTAAATATTTGAAAGTAATATAAATAAATACCTTGTCATGAAACATAAAAAATCCGCAATAATTATTGTAAAAACCCCCTGTTTAGTTGTTATTGTAATGATCTAGAACCTGCTTCTCTTGATAGTAACCAGGTAAACAATAAATATATCTTTATTTATTTTTATTTGATGTTTTTCCTTCTATTTTTCCGACATCTACATTCTAGTTTTATAGAATTATCTCTCTGTATAGTAATCAGGAAAAAACACTAAAATTTTGAAGAAAATTATATGTTTTTTTGAGAATCTTAAGATAATGTGTTATACCTGAACCTAAACTTTAACCTAAACCTAAACCTAAACCTAAACCTAAACCTAAACCTAAACCTAAACCTAAACCTAAACCTAAACCTAAACCTAAACCTAAACCTAAACCTAAATCAAACCTGCCCTCCCTTCCCCTCCCTTAATTTTTGTACTTTTTTTTAGAGGATTACTGACCCTAGAGCTAGAGTTGAAACAAGAAATATTAATGAAGATTATACGTAATATTATAATTATTTATTTTTACTGTTTTTTTATACTGACTCACCTTTGTTAAAATTAGTTAACTCAAATTTCCAATTTTATATATTTTATTTAAAACTTTGATATTTCAAAGACAAATGGAGAAGAAAATCAAGTTTATGGAGCAAAAATATTTTACTATTTAAGCTCTCAAAAGATGGCTTATACGTTTTTGTTGTATCTTTAAAGGGAGTGTTCGCGAAAAATGAAAGGGGGTATAGGCTTAATGCGATAAAAAAGCGCTTTCAATCGCTACTAATCTTACTTCTATCTGTTGCGTCTATAAGGAGAAAATTGTTAAAGACGTCTCATACCGAATAACATGGCGTTCATACAAATTGAGAAAATTGCAACATACGACTTAGACCGTAAACAAATCAAGTTAATTTCAAACAAATCATTCGGATATTACAACCTATAGTCATCGATTATCTTTCGCCACATTTATATATAGTTTATTTTTCATAATATATTTTAATTGTTATGATCTGTAAGTTACTTATAAAAACATTTATTCCTGTTTCGAGGATTTTTGGTAATGAAGACGACATTTTCATATTTTTTAGGAATGTTCGAAAACAAGTTGTAAGCTAAATATTATTTTAAAAAACTAAATCAAAGCTAGTATGAAATATCAAATATATACAAATGTGGCGAAAGATAATCGATGACTATAGGTTGTAATATCTGAATGATTTGTTTGACATTAATTTGATTTTTTTACGGTCTAAGTCGTATGTTCCAACTTCCTCATTTTGTATGGGCGCTACGCTCTTCGGTATGAAACGTCTTTAACAATTTTCTCCTTATAGACGCAACAGTAAGATTAATAGCAATCAAAAGCGCTTTTTTATCGCATTAAGCCTATACCCCCTTTCATTTTTCGCGAACACTCCCTTTAAAAAAGTCGAAGATAGTCGATTATTAAGAAATTTTGGTTGAATTCTCTTTGATTAAAATTTATATATCGTAAAGTAATATACTGAGACTCAAAAAGAAATTTCGTAATTTTTTTTATTTCCTAACTCTGTATTGTTTAAAAACCGAATACCTATTATGTTATGGAACGTTTACTTATTTTAGGGTCAACTAAATGCTTTTTATCATCTATTCATCAGTATAAGCCTTACTTTTTAACGATTACTGTTACAGAAGAAAAAGCCGCTTTATATATATTTATATATATAGGATTAAATACCCAAATAAGTGAACAGTCCCTTTAAATGGTTTCTATTTTGTAGATTTGAAGTATGGAGCGGTGTGGAGTATTATATAAAGTTTGTTCTCACAGATTCTGTAGCAGACGAACTAGCGAAGACGATTACCAAACAGATATTCCAGGTAAATCAGCTGAATACCAAACATTTGGAAATATGAACATTTCGATCGAAATTTTGAACAGAAAGTTCGTAATTTAGAATTCCTTTATGCAAAAGAGATTGAGAAATCCATTGAAAATTATGCACCAACTTTTTCTCTTTTTTATATAAAGCCTTGTGTCCGAATTTAATAAATTTAAGCCGCGGCTTAAATCTGCCAAAAACCGGTTTCAATTGAGCGCCGGCTTAAATCTTGAAAAATACAATACAATTTTAAAGGGAACCAACCATTTTGAACCGTGGCTTAAATTTAAGCCACGGCTCAAATTCTTTAAATTCGGCCTCTGGGCAGTCAAGTCAAAAGCTACAAATCGTTTGTTTCTAGCCTCATGGTTTAAAATCCTGAAAAATTTACATTATTAAAGGGAGTGACCGGCTAGGCATGGTAGTTGAGCTGAAAGTGCAGTATTGTACAGAAAAACTTTTGGATTCATTTGATACCAATGAGACAAGTTTACGGTGTACAATTTTTAAATATGAGTGTAAAGTATCACCAGTTGTTTCAGTCAGCAGAAGAAACTTTTTTTACAATTATTTAATAACCCAAACAAATAAATCCTAAAGTTTTCTCTACAATACTGCAATTTCAGCTTCACTAGCATCTCTAGCCGGTCTCTCCCTTTAAAACTTGGATTAACTTGTCTTGTTTCAGGTCAATAGTAGAATAGGAGAAACTACAGAATCTACTGTAACAGATTTACATGAATCTGTTACGGGTATTGAAGATTTTATAACAGATGTTGATGAGACAGATAACAGATTACTGATAAATCCTGTAGATATTACAGTTCGCCAGTTTAATAGAATAATTAGCTTTCAGCTTCCTGCCACAGAGAGACGGGGAAATAGGTAGGAACAAGGTTGTAATGCAAGGAAAGTTATTTCAGAGGTGTACGCATATTTTGTACTGCAGTGTACTGTCTCTGGGTGGTAATGAAAACACAAGACGGATGTCACAGCCTGACATGGGATCCATCTTTCACATAACAAATCAATGAAATATTCTGGTCATAGGAAACTATTATGTGAATTATCAAAATTATCAAAATTCAATGCTTTTAACTTCCTCGGATGCTAAACGAACACTGATGCATCTATTCTTGTTTACAAATTCCACCAGAGAGAACTGGCTTCAATATGTACGCAGAGTATACGCAACTGCAATTAACTTTTCTTGCATAGTAACCTTGGGTAGGAGAATGTCATTAACGCACTATTTCCAAAAACAGCTAACTTTCAAACCTCCTTTTCGATCTCTTGTTTGTTTTCAAGGTACATCCTGACCAGAACAGCATTTGGGCCCGTGGGAAAAAAATCAACTTTTTTTTAGCCTATAACACCCCCAGGTCCACCCACGAGTGTCCGCAAAAAAATTCAGCCCAATCGGTCCAACCGTTTGGCCAGCTATGCGCAACATATATATAAATGTCTTGTTTTAGTACATAGATAGATATCAAATCAAATCAAAACAAATCAAAGACCATTTTGAAGTCTTTTCTTATATCTTTTGTTTACAGGGTCGTCTTATTCCTATAAAAATATCTAATTCAAGTTATTTTTTAAGCATTGTGTATCGAAGCAATGAGAAGTCTGTGGATTTTTGTCCTACGTCGGATATAAACTCGAATTCTACTGTTCTCATGACGCTTTCTACCAGCTCACATAAACCGGTTCTAGTCCATATCAAGGTCCTTCTTAAAGGTAAGATCAAAGCAACTTCAAAGCAATTCAGTTTTTGCCAGAAACTCAGATTATCTTTGCAACCCGACGTTTTGGACCTTTGCTTTTTCAAACTAAAAAATCTGTTAAATCAAATCACGTGGATTTAATAGTTCTGTCAATATTCCAGAAATCACAATTTGACCTATTAAACATAATTTGTAAGCCTTTTCCCTTTTATACTTTTTTGTCGGCATATGCATTTTGAATGAAAATGTATAAAATAAACAAATCCGTAAAGTAAAAGATTGTTGAATAATAGACCAAAACACGCTTGATTTCAAATAGAAGAAACCGAATGCTGCTCACTCTGGTTAGTCCGGGGTGAAATAGTCTAATTATCAAAGGTTTAAACCATTAGGTTGAAAAGATATGGAGATAACACATTTGAGTTTGATTGATTTTAAACTTGTATAAACATTAAACAATACTTCAAGGCCAAAATTTGGAACATTATCTTACAGAACAGAAAGGGGCCAGGGGAGCGGGAGGGGCTGTATATATCTACCTGTTAAAAAATATATTGTTAATTTTAAAATAAGTTTTAATTCCTTTATTTTTTTTACTGTTCCGGCTTCTCATACTTATCATTGCAATTTTAACCACAATTTTTGCTTCCAGGGAAAACTGCAGGATGGAATAGGTAATTTTTTATATTGATTTTGATTAAAAAGAGAAAAAAACATGCTGGGGAAAGGAAGGGGGGGGGGGGTACGATATGAATGCGTTATCAATTTTATCTAACATTTTTCATTTGAGATTTTGATAAAACCCGCATGAAAGTGCATTGGTTTTAAACTGAATTGAAATGAAGAATGTTAAAAAAAATCGTTGAATTAAAAAATCCTAAGCTGAGTTCAAAACTTTTGAATGGACGAAACTAATCGAAATTGGTTCAAATTCTCTGATTTCTCAAATTGTCCGAATTCCCTTAATCTCAAATTACTGAGTAAAGAGAAAATTGGTTTAAATCAAATACAAACTTGGTATAACTAGAGTTCAACTATTTCCCGATATTTATTAATTCTGGCCTCAACTTAGTTACTAGGTTAATTTTTAGAACAAAGACTGGAGTATATGAGAGTAGCACTAGTATAACTCCAGTCACCACCAGGATACGGTACTTTCAACCAAACCTACTCCCACCAGGATATATTAATATTAAGGTAAGTAACCCAACCTACTCCCACCAGGGTATATTAATATTAACGTAAGAAACCCAACCTACTCCCACCAAGATATATTAATATTAAGGTAAGGAACCCAACCTACTCCCACCAGGGTATATTAATATTAAGGTAAGTAACCCAACCTACTCCCACCGGGGTATATTAATATTAAGGTAAGTAACCCAACCTACTCCTAACAGGGTATATAAATATTAAAGCAATGAGTCCAACCTACTCCCACCAGAGTATATTAATATTAAGGTAAGTAGCCCAAACTACTCCTACCAGGGTATATAAATATTAAGGTAAGGAATCTAACCTACTCCACCCAGGCAATATAAATATTAAGGTAAGGAACTCAACCTACTCCTACCAGGTTATATAAGTATAATGGTAAGGAACCCAACATACTCCCACAAGGGTATATCAATATTAAGGTAAGTAACCCAACCTACTCCCACTAGGGTATATTAATATTAAGGTAAGGAACCCAACCTACTCCCACCAAGATTTATGTATTAAGGTACGTAACCCAACCTACTCCCACTAGGGTATATCAATATTAAGGTAAGGAACCCAACCTACTCCCACCAAGATATATTAATATTAAGGTAAGGAACCCAACCTACTCCCACCAAGATATATTAATATTAAGGTAAGGAACCCAACCTACTCCCACCAAGGAATAGTAATATTAAGGTAAGTAGCCCAAACTACTCCTACCAGGGTATGTAAATATTAAGGTAAGGAACCTAACCTACTCCCACCAGGGAATAAAAATATTAAGGTAAGGAACCCAACCTACTCCTACCAGGGTATATAAATATTAAGGTAAGTAACCCAACCTACTCCTACCAGGGAATTTAATATTAAGGTAAGTAACCCAACCTACTCCCACCAGGGAATAATAATATTAAGGTAAGGAACCCTACCTACTCCCTCCAGGGTATATTAATATCAAGGTAAGTAACCCAACCTTCTCCTACCAAGGTGTATAAATATTAAGGTGAGCCAGGGTATATAAGACAAGGGTGAACATTTGGAAAATTACACTTTAGTTTTTAATCTTTTGTTAATAATGGTAGGTGAGTATGAGAGAAGATTCAGATTGCCTGTGTTCTCTAATTTCTATTCAGAACCCTACATGTCCTTTCCATGATGATATTGGATCCGCCATGAGGTAAACTCAGGGGCGCAATTAGTCATTTTCTGAAGGGGGGGGAAATTATTATTTTTATTATTATTGTTATTATTATTATTATTATTATCAATAATATATCTAGGGACTACCCGGATGGATTTATAATAGTATTGGTAGCTTCAGCAACGGATGATCTTTGCAATATTTACGAACAGGAAAATAGGTCAAAAGTAAATTAAATTGAAGTAAAATTAATGTTAGAAAAGTGTGTGCATACGAATACTACAATATATTTAAATGTTCCAACTACAATACGAACACTACAATATATCTAGATGATCCAACTACAATACGAATACTACAATATCTCAAGATATTTTAACTACAAAACGAATACTACAATATATCTAGATATTCCAAATTTAGTACGAATACTATACATTTTATTAAGATGTTCCAACTACAATAAGAACACTACAATATATATTGATGTTCCAACTACAATATGAATATTACAATATATCTAGATATTTCAACTACAATATGAATATTGCAATATATTTAGATATTTCAACTGCAATACGAATACTACAATATATCTAGATGATCCAACTACAATACGAATACTGCAATGTCTTAAGATATTCCAAATTTAGTACGAATACTTTACATTTTATTAAGATGTTCCAACTACAATACAAATACTACAACAATATTTATTTATGTTCCAATTACAACAAGAATACTAAAATATATCTAGAAGTTCATACTACAATACTAATACTGCAATATATCTAGATGTTCCAACTACAATATGAATACTACAATATATATAGATGTTCCAACTACAATACGAATACTACAATATATCTAAATGTTCCAACTACAATACGAATTATACTATGTAATAAAATGTTCAAACTACACTAAGAATACTGCAATATATTTAGATGTTCCAAGTACAATAAAAATACTACAATATATCTAGATATTCCAACTACAATACGAATACTCCAATATATCTAGATGTTCCAACTACAATACGAATACTACAATATATTTAGATGTTCCAACTACAACAGGAATACTACAATAACTCCAAAGAAAAGAGTTCTGATAGAAATTCAAGAAAACGCTAAGGCTGAAACGTATACGAACGCGACTCTAACAATTTCATCTTTATATATAGGTATCATATACTATACTAGCTGAAGTGCCCAGTGTTGCCTGTGGCATATTTAAAAACACTTGAATTTTTTTTCGAATATCACGGAAAACAAATTTGAATTTTTAAAAAAAAAATTCGAAAAAAAATTTGAATTTGGTTAGTCTATGTTATCCCCGGGGTACTCAAGGGTTCTCTAAAACAATTTCAGCCAATTTGATTCAGCCGTTTGGCCAGCTATAGCTCACCTATATATAAATATATAAATATATACATAAGGGAATAGCTTTATTATATAGATTATATATAGCACTGTGAAATATAGACAACTCTGAAATTTATTCATCAAACTTTTAGACAACCTCGAATCTAAAGTATCCCAACGCCTTGGCCTTTGGTTTTACCATTTTTTAAATTTACATCGAAAGAAATGATATTTACAAAATTACCAACAATCTAACAAATTAAGAGGCAAATTTTCACAAATCCCATGCTAAAATTTAAATAAAAGGGACTCTAGTTGTGCCCTAAATTTTTTAGGGGGGGACGTTCCCCTAATTTTCAAATGCCCTATCCCTCTTTAGCCACCTCTGCAAGAAACACAGAATTGAGAATGTTCCAGGGCCCAAAACTATATGTACCACACATGTGTGAAGTACACCTGCAGTACGGAAACAGTACAAAAAATGGTGGTTTTACACTTTTTTCGATTTAATTCCCCTCTATATTAATCTATTCTCTATGGCAAGAAAGTCCTAAATATTTCAACGGAGACCTCTAAATTTAGTGGAAACCTCCAGATTGAACTCATCTTTTAACGAACATTTTTATCAATTACCGATGAAATTTCTTAAAGATGATGATTTCTGTTTCTGTTTAGGGCACTATACTAATTATCTATCTATCTGTGCATCATATATATATATATATATATTTAGGTATAATGTTGACCACATTGTTTTTCTCCTTCTTGGAGTTTAAATACAAATATTCAGATTTCGAGACTATTCGGGTAATCTCATTTTTTTATCCTCATATTAGGACTTTTTACTTCTTTTATACAAATTCTCGTTTTAGGAAATATTTTAAAAATTATTATGAATCTTTTGTGTAATAATTTCCATGATATTATTTTTCTTTGTTTGTTAAAACACTATAAATGTGGACTACCTTCTAATTAAATTGTTAATACTTTTAAAGTTTTCATTTATATTAATTTCAAAAGCTTTAAATTTTTTTGTTTGTTTTGTCTTCTTTGGAATTTTTGAATATCTGATGAAAGTTTTTTTTCTAATTTAAACACATAAATTTGAAGAAAATGGAGATTATTAAAAACAGAAATGTCCAAATATTTGCAGCTGCTATCATCTAATCATTTATAGAATTTTGTTAAAATTAAAATTTGTAAAATAAACATGTTAAAAAACATTTAATTTTTTGCAGGGCACTCTTGAGGAGAAAATTGAACTGTACACTCACGTGGGCCGAGAGAAAATGCACAAAATTAGGAAAGGACGCCATCTTGTTTTTCTTCTTTTCCCAGCAGCTGTCGAGTATCATCTGTTTTTTCAGATGTAAATATTAGTATTTGAATTAAGAAAAAAAAACTAATGTTTTTTTATTACTTAAATTAATTCAGTCAATGAATTCGGTCAAAGATTTTCATTACTACAATTTTGAATCAAATGATGAACGTGTATCTATGTATCTGTATATATTCTATTTTCTATTTTAATATTTTCACCCTGTGGCCGTAAAACCGTAAGAAAATAAATATTAATCTGAATATATTCTTTTTGGATATTAGATTCATATTATATCGGAAGTTTTTTTAATTTAAAATAATTCTAATTTGATATGATACTATTAGGATATTATTTTGATTGGATATAAATCTGATCAAAAATGTCGTCTTTAGTGAAAGTATCGGACGGAAAATATCTGCAGATCATCATAATGTACAGGTTAAACTTTTAAATGTAGTTTTATTCATAATTCATGGCACTTCTCGCCACCATTCGTACTTTGGGAATTGTATTCAAAATTGAAGACCTGGTCAGATTTTTAAAAGTTCTTTCGAATTGTAAAATTTTTACGTTTTTAACAATTGAAGTTTCCACACAAAAATAAAATGTTTTAAAATTTAAATTTGAAATTTTAGAAAATTATTGCCCTGAGAAATAATTTTTTCTTAACCATAATAGTCAAACCTTGAAAGAGTCTGTTAAAGAAATATAAAATAATACTGCATAATGCTCCAGGATGGGTTTCATGTTACGGACGCCATAAAACAAACAATAGGTAAATACTTTTACGGTATTAAAGGTACTGTAAGCGTAATTTCAAGTGACCCTCCATGCACAAATGGCAATGCCCAATTCTCAACAGTTCCCATAAAATCCTTGTCTCATCGAGCATGGATTCAATATCAGTGTTTATAATTTGGTAAACTAATTATTTTTTTTTACAAAAGTGACTTGTGCATTTCTACTGCAGGATAGCACGTTAATTTTTAATAAACTTTTAAACCTAGAAACAACGATAATATCTTCCACACTATTCATCTGATAAAAGATTTCAACGCTGCCGTTGTGAATCAGGAATTGCTATCTTTGCACTAAGGGTTACTTAAAGCAGTCCCTTTAATGTCCAAAAACATATTTTTCAATATCATTCAATTTGTGTTCAATATGATAAAAAATGCAAATAAAAAAAACATGCAAATTACTCCATGATTGTTTCTCTCTAATAAGATTAAATACATAATTACATTCAAACATCATGTAACACAGTCGTTTTAAATCTATTTTCTTCTTTGGGTTTATATTACAATTGAGTTTTTGTCACAAGCTCTGATTTTATAAACCCCTTTTCTCTCTGCAAACTGTAGATTCTGTTAAATAAAATAATCTAAGTTTGCAATATCAAAGGCTTACTTTATCAGGTTGCAAAGATATTGAGATTAGAAAATCTTAGTTTGTGACAAAGACTCAATTCGTTGAAAGTTATAATAGAGAAAATTACAAGAGAAAATCAAATGTTATATTTTTCTAACAACATATTTTTTAAATGAGCACATATCGTACCAAATTGTCTGTTTCCAATTTAACTAAGCCGGAATCATCGATTTTTTTTAAAAACTTTTTTTTTTAGAAGCTGTAATTAACCCTGGGAGCCCTATAAGGTACTTTTTCCCTTTCATTTTAAATTTTTACTATTTACTGATAAACAATCAGCACTGCGGGATTTTAACTCAGACAAATAATTTAAATCAATTTATCTCCGACATTTTCTTTTCTCCGCCATTTTGTTTTTTAGCATTTTCCCGCGTTTTCCTGCAGGAGTGGTGAGAAAATGCAGAATCACGAAAGAAAAGGATTTCTTTGAAGGATAAGAGAATTGCAAAAAAAATTATAAAAAATACTAAATTTCTAAACTATTAATGATTTAAAGAATAAACATATAATAAAAAATAACTAAAAAACTGAGTCTTTGCCTCAAACTAAAATTTTCTAATCCCTATATATTTCATCGCAGTCAGATGGATGTAAACCTTTGATATTTTAAACTTAAATTATTTGATCTAACAGAATTCACAGTTTGAAATATCTAAGGTCTACAACATTGCGTTACAAATATATAGAGAAAAAAATCAGAGTTTGTTGCAAAGACTCAATTCCTTGTCAACGAAATACTTAAGTTTTTTTTTACTTTGAAATTCTAAAAATAATGAAAAAGTTCATTTTTTGTTTTTAGAAAAGACGCAATTATATCTGTAGAGAAAGAAGATTTGGATAAAAGGGTTTCTCTCTTCATAGATGATGAAGTAAACTTTGAAGAGAAGGAGGCAAGGTTCCATATAATTCTATCCAATACGATCCTAAGTACATTGATTAATTGATATTAGAGGCAGAAATTAACCAAGTTGTTGTTGTAAACAATTGGAAGTATTTTGTCAAGTAAGCTGCAAGGGAGAGTTCATTTTTCTGAATATCATAATTTATCTCTTATATTGATTACTGATATTTAGAAACTTGCCAAAGTTCCCAATGACACAGAAAGTGTATTTGTATGCCCCTAAATGTATTTTCAACCTCAATCCCAGTTGGAATGAGAAATGGAATTATATGGACCCCTGGAAGAAGGTGATAAACCCAGGAGAGAAGGTAGAACAGAAATTTGAAGAGTCTGAACAGAAAGCAGATGAGAATCAAGAAGAGGAATTGATTGTGAAGAAGAAAATTCAGTTTACTTACAGCAAAGTTGCAACACCAGGTTTAAAAGGGACTGTCAGCGTTATTTCAAGTGACCATCCCTTTGATAAAAGTCCAGTTCAGATTCAGAACGATACCATTTTAACCTTCGACTGATCAAAATATTAGCTGAATTCTATGATTATTTACCAAAATATGATCTGAATTCTATGCTTATATACCAAAATATCAGCTGAATTCATGCTTATATACCAAAATATTATCTGAATTCTATGCTTATATACCAAAATATCAGCTGAATTCATGCTTATATACCAAAATATTATCTGAATTCTATGCTTATATACCAAAATATTATCTGAATTCTATGCTCATATACCAAAATATTATCTGAATTCTATGCTTATATTTAAAAAATTTAGATTTTATCCACAATAACGCTGATTATTCGTATTGTACTAGATTTTTATTTAAATAAATTAGGCTTTTTTCCTCAACCTTGAGCTGTTGAATATTTAAAGGGTAGTTTTGAATCTAAACTGGAATTAATTGAATAACATGTTACTGGAAATTACACTTACAGTCCCTTTAAGCTAAAAATTTCCTAACAAACCTTCAACTATCATATTTAGAAAAATTGCTGTATTTTTCTTATTTTAATAAAAAACATTTTGCATTGTGTTGTGGGTGATCAAATCTTCATGATGCACGACACCGGCTTAGTTACAGGGTGTCCCACGAAACATGACAGTTGGTGAATAGTTTAAAATGTCTTCTTCCATAATTTGATACGTTGTTTGATACTAAAGAGACTAATAACATATATGACAGTTATATTACAGTTAAATTGATTTCACAGTACAATATATATGAGTTAAGCATTTTTTAAAGAAATAAACTGCAAAAAGTCTTCAATATCTAATATAGTATATACTCAAGACTATAAAAATATGCAGGTTTATTCACTAAAGTACATTTCAAGTAAGATTGAAATATTTTATGTTTTCAACTGTAACTCCTTTAAATGAAATGCTTTTGAGAATAGCATGTTCTGAATTTCTTATTTGTAACTGGATGAATTTGCTTAAAATCAAAACTAGAGGTGCTCAGATGTCACACAGTGGTACGACGGGTAATGTTGCATACATTTTAGCTATACGCCTACTGTCTCACACTCCACTGCCGCTTTAGTAAATGTAAATCGGCGGTACAGTCCAAAGTAGGCCTGCAAAGGTTGGCCCAGCTCGGGTATTCAAATGTACACCGGCGTGGTCTAGTTTGCAGTTTATTAGGTATATTATAAGCTTAGCAGGATATCCAACACATAAGTTGACCCTTCAGATCAGACAAAATTTAAACAATTTTAATTGTTACAAAAATTAATTTATAATAATACTAGTTGAGATGAAAGGTTTACTGGGAACCGACGAAGATGTAGAAGAAAGGAGACGAAGACGACTTGACACAGATCTAAAAGTCAGCCACCTTTCCATGGTGAGAAAAAAAAGATGAAGATTTTACCTTTTAATACAGTAAGTACTAAAGTATAAGTATATATCTTTGCATCATGATGGTGTAAACCTTTGAAATTTAGGCTTATCCTCATGTCTAAATTTCTTTCTCTCAACTCTAACATTTGATTTTAGACCCGACTGTTTCTAAAATTAGACTCAGCTCTAAAAAAGTTATTTTTTCGAGCCTTATTTCAGTCTCAATGATAGCGGCCTATAGAATGATTATACTAAAGAGGATTATAAAATCCGCAAATCAGTAGCGTCGGATTCTGGAACCAGAGAAGACCTACTCATATTCCTCTCCTTTATTACACTCGTTATTTATCATGTATTTATATTTAGAATACCATACTTAATTTATAGAAATATATATTTAAGCAATCCATTCATTTAAAAAAAAACATTTTTATTTTTAGAAACTTGAAGATCCTCTACGAAGCAAATCTGTTTATCAAAAGTCAAATCTTTATCTCGGTATTCTATTATTAATAAGGTAGGGTTTTATTTATATTTTGATAAATGATTTATTTGAAAATATCATTTTTTAGTATTTTTTACTCGCTGCCTGTTCTTCAAATGGTGTTTGCCTTTTCTCACTCCCAGCGGTAAGTTGGAAAAAACGAAATAAAATTCTAAAATATTAAAAATATTAATTTACTAAATATATTGATATCTCTTTATAAAATGCAATAACATTATAAGAGGACATTTTAGCATTTTTAAAACTTTCCCTTTTCTTTACTTAAGGGAAAAAATGTTTTCAAGTTTAGCATCCTGCCTAAATATACTTTTATTAATTGATATTTTTTTTAGCAACATATAGGGCAAAATTTCTTGTAAAATTTTGAGTATTTGTTGCATACTGAAAAAATACAAATTAGGCAAATTATCTATTACCTGTAGGCTTTGAGAAAAGCTAATTCTTCTTTTAATGACTTAATGTTTTAGATATTTGTCTCCAAGGTCTATAGGACCTAAAACTTTCAAAATCGGTTTACATGCTGTATATCATTATATGCTACAGTGAAAACCAGAAAACTGTGGAATAGGAAGACGACATCAAAAGCAATAATTAAGTGTGTTTAAAGTTGTTACAAAGGAAATAGTATACAAGTAACTTAATTAATCACTTATTAAGTGAAATGGGTCTGTTTACACTACACAATTGACGTGTCTCATGTTAAATCATTCATAGCTTGTCTCTAAAAGTCGTCTCTCTATTCCAAGGTTTTCTGGTTCTCACTGTATGTTTTCCTAGAATAACAGGGAACCAGGATATCTGTTATTACAATGATTTGTGTCGGCGTCCCCTGGGAGTTATTCGAGATTTTAATCACGTGTTCAGGTAATAATCTAGGCTGCTCAAAGACCGTAATAATAGTAAAAAAAAAGTAAAGTAAAAAGCTATTTATTTATGAAATATATTAAAAACAAAGAAAATTAAGTGTTTCAGTAGAAAATATTTAAAAACCTCTAAAAGCAGAGCTTGTGGGAATATTTCCCCCAATTCTAAAAAAAAATGGCAATGACTTTTAATCTATACCACAGAATTAGGCTTTAATTTGCTAATGAAGATGTCACAAAATGTTGTATTTTCTTAAAATTCAAAATTATCTTAGGAATGTTTAAGCATATACTTCGCCAAAATCTTGTTTTTAAAACAAATTTGTTGTTAAAAAAACATAAACTATTTCTACGATATACTTTTTAAAAAACAGATTGCGATGTTTGGTTTGTAAAAAAGAATTTTCCAGATTTCCGACAAATTTTAAGCAATAGGTTGAGATCAAGTTGGATACCGTTCAAAAAAGTCTACAGCGATTACCAGAAAACTCAGAAATATATTATGTTATAAATAGTCCAATGAACATGAGGCACAGCAATTATGCATTGTAAACAGACCCATTTAATTAACTAGTGGTTTAATAACGTACTAGTTAAGCTATTTGCTTTGTAACAACATTGCTTCAGTATTGCTTTAATATCGTCTTCATATTCTAAAGTTTTCTTGCTATTACTGTACAGTACAATCTTTGTAATTGAATTAAAAATCCACAATTGTTTTGTGTTACAGTAACCTGGGATACTGTGTGTTTGGTATTCTCTTCATGTTGATAGTTTACTTAAAGAAATGGAAATATACAACATTCTTTCAAGACAACAAAACTATTCAGGATTGTACACTGTACACTGTTAATTTTACACTAACACTAAGCACTTGACATACACTGTAAATTATACACGTTACACTATTAATTGTTAACCTTACACTGTTAGTTGCTCACTTTACACTTTTACACAAAAAATATACTGTACAGTGTACACTGTTAATTTTACACTTTACACTGTATTTTTACATTTTACACTTTACACCATCAATTGCAATTATTATTGCTTTATCCGAATTTAAGTCTCAGAAGCAACGATGATATTCTGAACAGTTCTTTAAATTGTATTATTCGGAAAAGGATTTTAATTAAAAGTACAATTTACAATGTAGGAGGTAGAATACGGAGTACCGCAGCAGTACGGAATCTACTTTTCTATGGGGTTGGCACTCTTTATGGAGGTAGACATTGCAGTACAACAACATTGTAAACTGTATTAAGAATCATGTTTATTTCAGGGTGTTATGTCAGGTAGTTACCATGTCTGTCCGACCAACATAACTTTCCAATTTGATACAACATTTATGTATCTCATGTGTATCCTTATGTTCCTTAAACTATACCAGGTACTTAAACATTCATATATTTCTTATGTAGATATTATATACTCTCATTTTTCATAATTTCTGTATACTAATGTTTTTATTGTATTCACGTATTCAAAACATGTCATTCATAATTTGAATCACAATAGGTAAATTACACTTTTTTAAATCGTTAAACTTTATTCTTTATACTTAGATGCGCCTTTTCCATATATATACATCTTAGGTGCGCCATGCGGACGTTTCTGCTAATGCAGTGGGTGTTTTCTTCGGGCTAGGAGTCTCTCTAATTCTTGAAACTGTCTCAATTTTCTACAGTGGTCCGTGGTTCTGGGCCTTCTTCTGTACAGTAAGTATTTACATAGAGGAGTTTTCATTTTTTAAGGATCAATTTGTATTCGTAAAGGCTTTACGGAACTAGATTCAGATCTTAAATTTATTTATTTGAAAATGCCTAGAAAAGTGGATGTAATAACATTAAGTATTTTAACGCTTTTTTTTAATGAGCGTGAACATTTTAACTAGAGAACATGTATCACACTCCCCTATCTCAACTCTAAAGGCAAAATATACTAGGCAAAAATAGCCCAATCGCTATATATAGGGTTAAAGAATATTCTTGCGGTAAGCTACACCCAATCTGTCTCCGACCCACAAATGACGTCAAATGTTTACAACATAATCTTAAACTGGCACACTAAAATGCAAAATTCTATCTAAAAAAATATTTTTTCTTAGTGTTCCAAAACTTATTTTGACTGAACTTACTTTGACGGGTTATGCACCAAACTTCCACATTTTTTAGATGATTTTTTATTATGGTTTCAAAACTTTTTATCGTTAGCACATTCTTTAACATAGCTAAAGAGTTCGCTGTAAAAAAAACGCGCTCTTTGCTTTGTATTTTCACAATTATTGCTTCTCTCAGCCAGGAATTGGTGCTAAGGACACCAAAAAAATCTGATAATATTTTATTAATCTTGTTGAAATTCCTATTTAGGTGTACATGATAGTTATACTGGTAGCAATGGTGCATGCCTACAACCTGGGTGTGGTTAAATACGATTACAAGATTTTCTACAACGTTGCCTATATACTTGTTATTGAGGTAGTATGCATTTTAATATTCTCTTTTAAAGGGGATTGAAATTGTGCCTTAAGTATGTACGATTCACAACGTTATATTTAAAAGCTTTTTTCTTTTATTCCTTTTTCTCTTTAAAAATGAATTATTTTTAATTGAAGTTTCACAATGAGAGTGACTTTTAGACTTGTGGAACAGAAGAAATGAAGGAAATTGTCAGAATAAACACTTTTCTAGTAAAAAAAACTTCACATTGATAAAACAAAGATTTTGCTGGGTACAGTTGTGAATCGTGAATCGGACTCTCTTCAAATGGGAGGACACTTTGAGAAGCGACCGTTTAAATACTGAATTTGAAAATGTTTTGTTAAAGATAATTTTTTATCTTCCTCAAACACAATAAGTAAGAAAATAATTTACCTTTTTTAAGTAACAAAAACTTATTAAATAAGGAACAAGCTACTTAAAAAATATTTTATTCAAATTAGTTTTAAACATAATTTAAAGCATTTTTTGGCTTTCGTCAACATCTTATATTATTAGCAATCAACATTCGCAGATCCGTGGCTCGTATTTTATCGTAGCGACACAAAATTGTTGTTAAACTAATCATATTAAACAATACTGTGTTTTCANCCCTTAAAATTGTAAATTTATATAAATATTGATAGTTAATTTATTTTATTTTAGGTTAAGAAGATTTTAAGCAGATCACCCGGTGATCCAATTCTTCCTAGGGTTAGATTTTTTAATTCTTCTTTATTAATAAACGATGTAGCTGAAATGCTAAAAATCGAATTTTAAAAAATCAATAAAAACAATTTCAATTTTAAAATTCGAATTTTGGATAGCCTATGCTACCCCCGAGGTACCCATGGGTTTTCTAAAAAAAATCTCAGTCATTTTTGGTCCAGCCATTTGGCCAGCTTTAAGGAGGAACAGCTTACAGACTACAGAGAGAAATAAATAAATATTTTCTTTTTTATTTAAGATACGGTCTAGACTGATTTGTCTTCTTGTCATGGGATTTGTCAATATTTGTCTCTGCTTATATTTCGGAATTACAGGTAATCAGTGTACTGCAGTGGACTACAGTGTACTGCAGTGTACTAAAGTGTACTGCAGTGTGCTGCAGTGTACTAGAGTGTACTGCAGTGTACTGCAGTGTACTACAGTGTACTGCAGTGTACTGCAGTGTACTAAAGTGTACTACAGTGTACTGCAGTGTACTGCAGTGTACTACAGTGTACTGCAGTGTACTGCAGTGTACTACAGTGTACTGCAGTGTACTGCAGTGTACTAAAGTGTACTACAGTGTACTGCAGTGTACTGCAGTGTACTACAGTGTACTGCAGTGTACTGCAGTGTACTACAGTGTACTGCAGTGTGCTGCAGTGTACTACAGTTTACTGCAGTGTACTGCAGTGTACTAAAGTGTACTGCAGTGTACTACAGTGTACTGCAGTGTACTGCAGTGTACTACAGTGTACTGCAGTGTACTGCAGTGTACTGCAGTGTACTGCAGTGTACTGCAGTGTACTACAGTGTACTGCAGTGTACTACTGTGTACTACAGTGTCCTGCAGTGTACTGCAGTGCACTGCAGTGTACTACAGTGTACTGCAGTGTACTACAGCGTACTACTGTGTACTGCAGTGTACTACAATGTACTGCAGTGTACTGCAGTGTACTGCAGTGTACTACATTTTACTGCAGTTTACTCCAGTGTTTTACAGTGTACTACTGTGTACTGCAGTGTACTACAATGTACTGCAGTGTATTGTAGTGTACTAAAATGTACTGCAGTGTACTGCAGTACACTTCAGTGTATAACAGTGTACCACAGTGTACCACAGTGAACTACAGTGTACTGCAGTGTACCACAGTTTACCACAGTGTACTACAGTATACTACTGTGTACTGCAGTGTACTACAATGTACTGCAGTGTACTACGGTGTACTGCAGTGTAAGTGTACTGCAGTGTATTGCAATGGCTGTCTTTTTTAAACATTTTAATAAACGGTTTCTGAATAATGTTTTCACACACATATTTGAATATCAAACAGATTTTGAGTAGATAATTTCACACTATAGTAGCTTTAAACGTTGAAAGGGGAGAACAATGGACTTTATTTTTCTATTTTCCAGGAACACCTGGAGCATCTAACTATTTGCTTGCAATCTTCATCTTAAACCTTATGATGTACTTTATATATTACTGCTCCATGAAGGTATTTATGCACCAAACTTCCACATTTTTTAGATGATTTTTTATTATGGTTTCAAAACTTTTTATCGTTAGCACATTCTTTAACATAGCTAAAGAGTTCGCTGTAAAAAAAACGCGCTCTTTGCTTTGTATTTTCACAATTATTGCTTCTCTCAGCCAGGAATTGGTGCTAAGGACACCAAAAAAATCTGATAATATTTTATTAATCTTGTTGAAATTCCTATTTAGGTGTACATGATAGTTATACTGGTAGCAATATACCAAAATATGATCTCANTATTGATTTATGTTTCTACATATCTATCAATTTATTTATCCATGGATTTCAGATCTTTTAATTTATTTATCTATGGATTGCAGATCTATTAAATTATTCATCTATGGATTACAGATCTAATAATTTATTCATCTATGATTTATCTGGGATTTACAGATATCTTAAATCCTTTATCCATGGATTACAGCTCTACTAATTAATTTATTTATGGATTACAGATCTTTTAATTTAGTTGTCTATGGAAACAGATCTATTAATTTATTTGTTTATGGATACAGATCTATATGGCTTATTTATCTGGGAACTGTAGATTTATTAATCTATTTATCGATGGATTTATATTTATTTATCTGGGAATTATAGATCTATTTATTGATAATTTATTATTTATTTAAGGATGCTAAATAGAGAATGTATATTTATGGATTTCTTTGATGGTCACGATATTTGGCATTTTCTTGGAGGATCAGGTTATTTCATGATACAGGCTGATTTTTAAAAGGAGGCTCTCAAACATATTCCAAACTTCAAACCCGATATTTGGACAATTTGACTTTTTTACACCACATGGAGGACGAATTTAGTATTTTGAATTTTTCCAAAAAATTAATTTGTAAAGAAACTTTTAATTTTAATTTGGCTATTAACGCTCATAAATTTTTTAAAATTATTTAAATACTTCTTTTTAATATTTGTTATTTTAGGTTTATTCTTCAGTTTCCTCACCATTTTCACCATCGATGAAGATTTAAAATATAAACAGAGAAACTCTATTCATGTTTTTTAAATCACAGAGTTAGAAGAAATCCTAACATTTTGTTCGTTACATGGAAAAAATACGAAGATTTTGTTCAAGATTAGAAACACAATGTTAGGCATATCTAACAAATTCTTTTTTTAACCGGGTATATCCCAAAACACCGATCTTCAAGATATACTATTATTAAAGAGCTCACGTGATAGTTCAATTTTTATATTTTTGACATTTTAGAAATCTCTGTAGCAGTTCCGATCAATGGACTCAGGGGAGAAAAGTGGCTTGAATGCACAAATGAAATGAGTTGCCGTACTTCCCTCGCTACCAAACTAAAACAATGACCATAAAAGTATGTTATCCTGCCTTTTGACCAGAAGTATTAGCATTTGTATTATCAAAACCAAATTGTTATTCAATCTAATATCATTAATTTATTAATATACAACTGTATTTTTCTGATGTGTTTATATAACATAATGTTTCTATGTAATAGACCAAAAGTTTGTGATCCATTTAATTATATGATATTGTCTTCTTAAGTTGTTAACTTGTATACATGAAAGAACAGGTTTTTTTGTGTTTTCTGCTTTGTATTTATATCTAATATCACATATTCTGTAAAAAAAATTAGATTACAAGTATAAAGAAAAATATTTTTGGACATTTTTATCTCCTATCTGTGGCCTCAGTTAAAACAAACTTATATTTGAGCATCTTAAAAAACAAAGCTTGTACAAAAATATTAGTGGATATTTATTTATTTCTAAAATACATTCTCTGAATCAAGAATTTCATTATGCTAATACATCCACAGTGTTAAAATTGTATGATATATATACTTGTGATTTCTATGGCTCAAATCTCTGGGATTTATACAGTAATTAAAAGACAGAATTTAAGGATTATATTATAGGTTTAGGAAATTGAATTAGAAGATAGGAATAAGAATGTGACTAGCTGAATGGATTATTTGTAAACGTTAGATTTTGGAATTGATGTTCACGTCAGGATTTATGAATAGGATTAATAGGTAGGATTAAGTGAATGAATTAGCGTTAAAGCAAATTGTAATTTTTTAGGACGAAGAGAATACAGTTTCAAGAGGACAATCAAATACGATTCTCATATGCTCGACAAACCAGACTTCGTTGGGTCTTATGAGATTGGAGATTATGTTTACTTCTTCCTCAGGTAACTGACTGACTGTCTGACTGACTGACTNGCCGGGTGGGGGTTTAATGTTTTAATTTGTAAATTTAAAAAAGTTGTTTGGTTTGGTCTTTTTGAAAAATTTGCCGGAAGTTGTTTCTTTTTAGAAATTGCATACAGAGTGATCCATTCTTAATGAAATTATAGTTTTTCGAATGTTACGCTGACAGGTTAAGGGAGGAGGAGGGGGGACTTCAAAGTTTAAAACCGGTTTTCCACATACCGACACGGTCTTCATAAACTTCTACCTACCTTCACCCCCTGAAATAATATTCCTCGCAATTTTTATTTAATCTCTCTAGCAAATTTCGTCTGATTTTATTTTATTACTAAAGGTTGTATCTTATATTTTTCTATTATAATTTAAGATGTTTTAGTAACCCTGCAAAGTCTAAGGGGATTTTGGCCCCTGCCGTTCGTTGCATGGCTCGGAATGATCCGTGCCATCCTCTCCTTCGCAAATGACCCCTGCCGTTTGGTTCCGCTGGGACATCCTATTCCTACCCAATCTATCTATCCATTTCTGTGTCTATCTAGAGTGTACGCCATTCTATTCCATCTGAAAAATCCAAACAAACAAATCCGCAGATTTATCCGTTCTCCAAATATACTTTTCGTAGATTTCTTTTAAACATTTGTGAATAATGTATTGTTTACAGTTATTTAAACATTTTCAGAGGAAATAATGTAGTGAATTGCGTTCAGAGAACAAAGAATTAATTATTAAGCACGTAGAAGTTACCGAAAAATAAAAATGAGAATAATTTTAAGGTTAGAATCAAGATTATCAGATTTTTTAGATTATAATTTATTGCTTCCTTTACATGAATCATAATGGACCGGCCTTTAATGACAATAAAGTTAGTTTTTTACATTACATTAACAGATTGGGTAATTTTCTAGAGAACTATTTTTGTACCCTCCCCCCACAAACCCCGGACCCCCCCTCCTATCACTTTTGTACATGGATCTCATATGTAACACATGGATATAATTGGTCATGTGGCCGCAGCGCTCGACCCCCAAGCCTGTCCGAGCCGCAGAGCTCGGCCCAGAAATATAGTCTTAACCTCCTAACTCTAAAATAATACAAAATCAATAATAATAATCTTGCCGAAAATTAGTGGTCATGTACAAAATTGTTCCTAATATATATCTTTAACAATTTTTTCAGTGTTGCCTGTTTCCTGGGGGTGTGTTTTGCCCGCCCACAGGCTGAGGAGATACGCCCACCCCTCTCCTCCTACCTATCCTGCGGAAAACTATTTTACAGGAAAACAATCAGTCAAAGACGATTAGATTTTTATCTCAACATTTTTACTCGGAACGATTTATTAGATTATTTTAATCAAAAGTTTTTCCAATTAGCTACCCTTAACACTTTTACCTCAAGGATATTTTCATTTCCAACATAGGTTAAAATCTGACCACTTTTTGTAATTAAAGTATAGATTTTTTTTGTTGTTTCTTAAACAATTAATATTAAAATTGTTTTTTAGATAAAGAAGTCTCTTTATTTACTATTACAATCAAATTTAACTATCTAAAATTGTTTTATATTTGGACCACCCGGCCCATAATAATACTCTTTAAAATCTAGTTTCTTGGAAAGTCTGTGGTTATTTTTTAGTGCCTACAAATTACTAATTTAAAAAAATTATTTTTGACTTTTTTTAACGAACAGTCTGGTCTATTGTTATTTATTTTAACTTACATTAAAAAACTAATTTAGATTTTTAAGAATATTTTGAACTTTTTGTTTTGCTAGAACTGTGCATATGGACGAAGCAAGGAACTCGTTGTATGTTGGAGCAATGGACCGGGTTATAAAGTAAATTTTACTTAACTTTTATTCCTTTATGTCCTCGTGCATTATATCCCGAAATTAATAATTTGTTCGTACAAATTTTTGGTCTAAAACCTAAACTTAAAAAAATATTCAGTCTTTTTTTGTGCTTTTGTAATTGAAATGATTTATTCTAACTATTTACAGGGAAGTTAAGGGAATTTTACGTTACCAAGGGTTCCCGAGACCAAGGCGAAATTGGTCGAGGGAACCCGTGGTTAAGTATATAATTTTTTATTTCTTGAAAAAGTAGTTTTACACAATTTTATCGTCTTTTGAGATGAAAATACGCGAATTTTTTCATATTAACTTCACAGAGCGGGTGGTTATTTTCTTAATTATCCCAAGGGATGTAAAGTAACCTTACGTTCTTGTGTTTGGGGAATAGTAATGTTGGTGAAAGGGCGGTAAATATATTAATTTATGACAGAGATTTTTAATTTTCCTTTTTTCCTCCTCCTAGGGTGAATCTGAACAACGTCTCTGAAACTAACTGTGACTCCAACAGTCTTCTTCTGGAACCAAGCAATGTCGGCAGCTGTGTTTCAAAGGAACAAACTTGTTCATTAATCAATCAGCCAATTAGATAATCAATTAAATGATCGATAACGAATTAAATAAGCCAAGAATTCGATTGAGAACCATGCAATCAATTAATCAATCACTCAATCAATCAATCAACATTCAACAAAGCAATTTATCATTTTGAGAAAACTTTAATTCTGCCGAAGTAGTGATAATTAAGATTAAAAAGGCTATTCAGAAGGCTTGACATCTGATATTTTCGTTTATCTATATTCTATCTATATAATAAAACAAAACACTCATATATATATATATATATATATGTTGCCGTTAGCCGGCCAAACCGCTGGACAGAATGGGCTGAAATTTTTTGTGGACACTCATTGGTGGCCGGGGGGGGGGGGGGTGTTATATGCTAAAAAAATTCAAAATTTTTAAAAAAATTTCCACGGGCCCTTCAGCATAAACCATGGATAAACTGAATTACAATTTTTATTTTGTTCTTAAATTCTGTATATCATTTTATTCTAAACAAAATTCCGTTTTGGAGTGCCTGTGCAGCGCTTGGCAACACTTTAGATTCAAGCTATTTGGGTTCTGAGAAGAATGCATAATAGATCCCTATTTTTTCAGCGGTGAAAATTAAAATTCAACCAAAATTTGGTTTTTCCGAGATCAGAACTATTGTGTGGAGTATCTTTAATCTTGAACGCTTGATCTTGATATCCAATGTGGGCATTTTTGAATTTGAGGATCAATGCTTGATCCCGTAGGGTATGACCGCGATGGGATATCAAAGAGTAATTAAATAAATCCGCTAGTCTGCATAGGATGGAGAATGGAGATCAATGCATGTCCCGAGATTTACAAAACAAAAGCTCGGACTTCCGTTGCTTTTAATATTTGCCTTTTTACTGGTTTTTAATGTAATTTTTATTACCCTTCAATGTCTTATTGACGATCTTAAAAGAACGAGTTGGTTTAGGGCAAATCTGAGAATTATGATTGTCGGAATCATATTCGAGTCATCACGCCAATAGGAGATGGAGAAATGTAAATATGTTGTCTTTTTTCTTTTTTTGCTACAGTGATAACCAGAAAACAGTGGAACGTGAAGACGACATTGCGGCAATATTTAAATGTATTTGATGTTGTTTCAAAGCAATTAAATCACTAATTAAGTAAAATTTGCACTGAACAATTACTGTGCTTCATGCTCATTGGAATTTTTAAAATTACAACTTGATTCTAAAAGTCGTCTTTCTATTTCAAAGTTTTCTGGTTATCAGTGAAGAGTGTCCACCGCGCCAAAAGCTTATTTCATAAGATAAATTTGTGTGTGAGCACAAATTGCGTAAATTCAGTTTGTGCCAAAATTTCATTTCCCTTGGCGACAAAAAAAAAATGTGCAAATTGCGGCTCGAAAATTACATTTGAATTTGCAGATTGGAAGTAGGCCGGCCCTTAAAGTTTGATTTGATTTGTGCTATAATTTTGATACACTTGACAGCAAAAAAGTGTGCAAATTACGGCGCACACGAAAATTCACAACGATTTTTGAATTTTGCCAGTAATCTCCCATGCTTATTTTGAGTCTTTATTTAAGGAAAAAAATGTATCCACCAGGATAGCCTATCAATATTTTTTGATTTTTATAATGAATAAAAAATCTAAAAAAATAGATAGAAAATATTAATATTTGCAACATTTTATTATTATTTATTTTCTAGGCTTTATGTTTGCGGAACAAATGCGCATAATCCCGCGGATTTGGTTGTTTTCGCAAACCTTACTAACCCAGGAAGCCAACATATTCCAGGTTAATATTTTGAAAAATATTTTTTGCTCTTTAGATATAAAAAAGTAGAAATAGAGGTGGATTTATCCCTTTTCTAGAGACGTATCTATGGTTTCCAGGGATGTTTCAGGCCCCAACGGGTGCTGAACCACCCACTGGAAAGAAATGAAAAATGTTAAAGCCATACAAATTCCTGAGCACGCCCCTGTACAAGATTATTGATAAACATACCACCTAGGGATTGGAAGTGGTATCGGGAAGTGTCCCTTTGATCCTGAAGATAACAGTACCGCTATATGGGTGGAGAACGGAAATCCAGGTAATCTTAGGGTTAACCTTCCAGAACAGTTCACCTGACTCAACTGACAAGCCACTTATAGATTTAGAAAATAACTGTAAATTTTGAGCAAAAATCTGCCAGTTTGAGAGCACAAATCTGCCAATCAGGGAATAAACTACCATGTAACAGAAATAAAATGCCAATTTGACCCAAAAATGATAATAGAGATATTTAGTTGGTAACATTCTTCTTAATGCAAGACAAACCTGCCATTAAGTAATAAGTATGTCACAAATAACAACTTGGCACATAAAATCTGCCACAAATATAATCTAAATGCATAAAATCTGCCACAAATATAATCTAAATGCATAAAATCTGCCACAAAAATTATGAATGAGCCCTTCCTCTTTTGCTTTTAACCTGACCTGCCACATTTTGGAACCCTGCAGTTTATCTATCGTTAAATTTTTTAAATTTTACGACCTATTTTTTTAAATCCATTTACAGCCTCCATGATTTAACTATTCAGGTGGACTAGCCGCGCTATACTCAGGAACTAACGCGGAGTTTACTAAAGCTGATTCTGTTATATTCAGAACAGATCTTCATAATCCAAACTCAGGTAGGAGATAGGATTAGAATTAGGAGATAGGATTAGAATTAGGAGATAGGATAAGAATTANGACTGACTGACTGACTGACTGACTGACTGACTGACTGACTGACTGACTGACTGACTGACTGACTGACTGACTGACTGACTGACTGACTGACTGACTGACTGACTGACTGACTGACTGACTGACTGACTGACTGACTGACTGACTGACTGACTGACTGACTGACTGACTGACTGACTGACTGACTGACTGACTGACTGACTGACTGACTGACTGACTGACTGACTGACTGACTGACTGACTGACTGACTGACTGACTGACTGACTGACTGACTGACTGACTGACTGACTGACTGACTGACTGACTGACTGACTGACTGACTGACTGACTGACTGACTGACTGACTGACTGACTGACTGACTGACTGACTGACTGACTGACTGACTGACTGACTGACTGACTGACTGACTGACTGACTGACTGACTGACTGACTGACTGACTGACTGACTGACTGACTGACTGACTGACTGACTGACTGACTGACTGACTGACTGACTGACTGACTGACTGACTGACTGACTGACTGACTGACTGACTGACTGACTGACTGACTGACTGACTGACTGACTGACTGACTGACTGACTGACTGACTGACTGACTGACTGACTGACTGACTGACTGACTGACTGACTGACTGACTGACTGACTGACTGACTGACTGACTGACTGACTGACTGACTGACTGACTGACTGACTGACTGACTGACTGACTGACTGACTGACTGACTGACTGACTGACTGACTGACTGACTGACTGACTGACTGACTGACTGACTGACTGACTGACTGACTGACTGACTGACTGACTGACTGACTGACTGACTGACTGACTGACTGACTGACTGACTGACTGACTGACTGACTGACTGACTGACTGACTGACTGACCTATGTAAACTATACATTATACACTGTACAGGGAGATTGCTGTAGAGTACATGAACTGTGGGAAAGGAATTTTCTCAAGGATTGCTCGAGTTTGTAAACGAGATACAGGTAATTATTTTATCATATACTAGTCTTGCCTAGGTTACTCATAGTTACTCCCGCCGTTTATCCGCTCTTGGTCTCAAATTATGAATTTACCAATTTTTTACCCACTCAACTTAGAATCTCAATACCAAGCTAAGAACATTCCAGTGGTTATCTCAAGTTTCCCAACCAAAATTTGAGGCAAATTGGTCATGGAATTCCTGAGTTAGGATCAGACATACAAACGTTAAAATTGATAATAAAAAAGCCACTTTTTTAACTGTTTTGATACTGTTTACCCAAAAATCTATTTAGGATTCCCCCCAAAATATTTGTTCCCCATTTTGTTTTTTGTCCTTTTGATTGTCTTTAATAATGTTTTTTTGTTATCAGAGCCATTTTGATGGTCACTGTTTTTGTATTTGTTTCTGTTATCTTATCCATATATATATATTATATGTATATACAACATCTCTTTTTGTTTGTCTGTTCAATCATAACTCATGAGCACCTTGACTGATTTGCCCCAAATGTTTATTGGAGAATTCAGGAGAATCACTTGGTTAATAGAGATTGAGTGGGTTGACTTTTACAGGGATAACTTTTTTATCAGACAAAACTGGGTTCCCAAGGTAGTTTCTTCAATTTTTGTATTTTATATATTTTTTATATTTTATATGAAATATTTGTTGAGGTGGAAAGAATATACTGCTACAGAACTGGGCAACCTACCTTAAAGCAAAACTTAACTGTTCCATACCAGGTATAGTTTTATGAAATATATATATATAAACAAATAATAAATAAAATATTTGGTTTTTTTATTCAATTTGTAAACATCTTAAAAGTTTTATTCCCAAAATGGGAAGAATCAATTATTTTAGTTGGAATCAAAAGTTACGGAAACATGAATAATTTCAAGAAGGACAAAAAATTACCCTAAAGGAAAGAGATAATTAATAATTAATAATAATTTGAAAAAGATGACTAGAAATAATCGTAAAGGAATTAGAAATAATCAAAGGATTTAGATATGATCTAAATAAGAAGTGTTCACTAAAAAATGGTGCATATATATTCTGGAAGGAAAAGGAAAGAATAATTGAAAATATAAACTATAAGGAGAGATAAAAAAATTATAAATTAAAAGATTGTTAGAGTATTTTAAAGGGTGTGCCAGGCAATGTATGGTAGTTGAACTGAGAATGTAGTATTGTGGAGACATTTTTTAGGATTAATTTGAGACATAACGTTTTAATAATGTATAATTACTGAGTCTGAGCGCAAAGTCGACGTTCAAAACATCTATTTGGGGTGGTTACGTTTTGAGAATCGATTTAAAAAAAATAGATCAAATGATGACAAAAAATGTAAAGTAAGCTAATTAGATGTTAAAGGGACTGTAAAGGAAAAATGAAAGGGGGTATATGGATGAAACCTGCGAATCTCAGGTGTTGAACGATACATATAAGACATCTTTCTGATGTTCCTGTCTCCAGAAATTGATATAAAACTGTATCAAAATTATACGAGAATCTATATATATATGAAATGTATAAAAGTAATAGTTTTAAACTTTAAACAGATTATATTCAGCAAATACGCAAACAATCTGAAAACGATTATATCCCACAGAAACCTGAGAATCGCAGGTTTTTTTTAAAGTCCGTATTACGTTACAAGAACTCCCGCCAAATGAGAGTGCAGTATACTGGTCACGTGAAACAGACGGAATTCACGTGACCAGCCTGAGATTCTCAGATTTCATCCTATACCCCGTTTCATTTTTCCTTCACAGTCCCTTCAAGGAACGGTATTTCTCAATTGAGATTTTCTCAATAAATCCATGTTAGAATCAAGTATTTCTTTTTCATCATTATATTAAATTTCTTATTCTTTATGAATTTGTTCGCAGATTTCTTCAAAATGTTAAAATGTCGTCTTTTCAATAAAAATGCCAGTAAATCTACTGAAATGTGAACAATGAGACATTACAGAAACCAAAAACTGAAAAAGATTACTTATTTTCGATGATAATAGTTAATTTTTATTTTCTCAACCTGTTCCTAAACAATTAATCAGTTTAACGTGGAAGTTTTACTACATTTTTCGTCATCGTTATTTAATAATTTTAAAAAAATCGATTCTCAAAACGAAACCACGTAACCATGTAAACGTATTATGATTCTAGCTGAACGTCGACTTTGCGCTCAAACTCAGAAATTATACATCATTTAAATGTTTTTTATGTTTCAAATGAATCCTAAAAAATTTCTCCACATTACTAGATTCTCAGTTGAACCATAATACATTGCCGGTCACTCCTTTAAAGGAAAAATAATGATGGATTTGAAAGATTGGCGTAATATTTATTCCAAGGATAAGAGAAAAAATAACAACTGAAAGCTCGCTATAAACATATAAACCCAAAAGAAAAATAAATCTGTTTTCAGGAGAGTTTCCGTTTTATTTCAATGAGATTCAGAGTGTTTACAAGATTCCGGACGATGATACAAAGTAAGTTTTTTTTTAACCACCGACAAATTGAAAATATCCAAACTTAAATATTATATAAATATTATTTTATACATATATAAACTGTATTTACTATTAGGTTAAATGGTATATTTTCTAGGTTCTACGCTGTATTTACCACTGGGTTAAATGGTATATTTTCTAGGTTCTACGCTGTATTTACTATTGGGTTAAATGGTATATTTCTAGATTCTACGCTGTATTTACCACTGGGTTAAATGGTATATTTCTAGGTTCTACGCTGTATTTACCACTGGGTTAAATGGTATATTTTCTAGGTTCTACGCTGTATTTACCACTGGGTTAAATGGTATATTTTCTAGGTTCTACGCTGTATTTACAATAGGGTTAAATGGTATATTTCTAGGTTCTACGCTGTATTTGCCACTGGGTTAAATGGTATATTTCTAGGTTCTACGCTGTATTTACCACTGGGTTAAATGGTATATTTCTAGGTTCTACGCTGTATTTACCACTGGGTTAAATGGTCTCCACGGTTCCGCTGTCTGTACTTTTGATTTGGAGGCGGTGCATTCAGCGTTCAACGGGAAATTCAAGGTAAAGTCAAAGCCTTTTGCTATTTTTTTCACTTGGTACATTTTTTAGAGGGTGGAGACTCGGGAGACTGGAGATTGGAAATGATATTTTCTTTTATTTCATAAATTCCAATTATTTCTCTGTAAAGTAAGTCTTTTGGAATCTCATGATGCAGTTAGCCTACCCTGCAATCTCATGATGCAGTTAGCCTATCCTGCAATCTCATGATGCAGTTAGCCTACCTTGCAATCTCATGATGCAGTTAGCCTACCCTGCAATCTCATGATACAGTTAGCCTACCCTGCAATCTCATGATGCAGTTAGCCTATCCTTGCAATCTAATGATGCAGTTAGCCTACCTTGCAATCTCGTGATGCAGTTAGCCTACCCTGCAATCTCATGATACAGTTAGCCTACCCTGCAATCTCATGATGCAGTTAGCCTATCCTGCAATCTCATGATGCAGTTAGCCTATCCTGCAATCTCATGATGCAGTTAGCCTATCCTGCAATCTCATGATGCAGTTAGCCTACCCTGCAATCTCATGATGCAGTTAGCCTATTCTGCAATCTCATGATGCAGTTAGCCTACCCTGCAATCTCATGATGCAGTTAGCCTACCCTGTTTTTGACCTCTTAACCCCATCCTATCTTTCTTTTCCTTAAAAATATTTATTAAATAAAACCGATTTTTTTCGGCAGCCATTAGAAGTACAAAATCTGAGTTAATTAAAAAGTGAAATTTAACTGTAGCTGGATAATTTTATTTATTATTTAAAGAAAATTCATGAACCTATAAAAGTATTTAACTATATAGGAGCAAGCCACTAGTACCTCTGCCTGGTTACCTGTACCCTTGAGTAAAGTTCCTGAACCAAGACCAGGCTCCTGTGTAGAGGACACCAGGTGGGAGATTTTAAGGGACAGTACACGGAAAATTAATTTCTATGGAGTCGTTATTTGATAAATCCTTTAACCTTATCACAACAATTTCAACCTTTATCTTTAAACCTTCAATGGTATCCAGGGAACTGTGGAACAGACAACTGTTATACTCAAGTTATAATTTTTAACAGTCCAATAAAAAATGAATCACAGCAATTGTGCAGTGCACACAGAACCATTTCACTTAAAACCTTGATTTTCAAGTAACATATTGAAACAATGACCATCTGGAGTACCAGGCGTTGCTCAATGCACAATATTTACTCCTGCATTTACCCGCACAAGGTATTAAAATTAGAATTTTTTATGAAGTGCCCGGCGTTGCTCGTGGAATTTCCAAAAAGGCCAAAATTTGTTTTTTATTATTATTGTTTATATTTATATATGAGCGAAGAGCTTTATTATAAAGATAATATTGTTATAATGAAGTCATTCAATCTTACGTGAATTTTATACAAGTTGGACGTGACTGTACATTTGTATAAATACTAGTCACTGTTTAGGGAGTTACCGGATCGTGTTCTCAACTTCATGAGATCTCATCCTTTAATGGACGACGAGGTGGACCACGAGGGCGGAGAACCGGTTTTCTATAAACGAAACGTCGTCTTTACTCATCTTGTTGTGGATAAAATATCAACAGGTAGAAAGTGTTGCAGGGGTGTGTATTTCCTGAAAAATCATTTCCGCCCCCCCCCTCTTTTGAAAATAATTTTTTTCCCCACAAAAGTTAGGTATGTTTGCGCGTAATTTTTTACGGATTTATTCTCTAAATATGGGAAAAAAACTAATTTTTGGTTTAGGTGAACTTTTTTGCCTTTTCATGTTCAATTTTCATTTGCCCCCCCCCCCCCCGGGGAGGGATTTTAGATATACACCCACAACTGTAAATTTGGATGTTTCAAAACGTTAATGCGTTGTTGGAATATCTTTTTCACTTTTTTAAAATCAAATCTTATTTAAAATTTTAAGTTTGAACCATACACAGAAAAACAAACATATCATAACTTCGTACTTCACTGAAGATTTGTACCGGTCCATTAATTAATCACACGGGTCTGCCGCTCTAGTAATTGTAAATTGGCGGTACAGTCCAAACTAGGACCGCAAAAGGTTGGCCCAGCTCGGATAATTAAATGTACACCGCGGTTCTGTGTGTAAAGTACGGTATATTCGAAACATAAACTTCAGCAGCCAGACATTTTACAGGGGTCAATGTATTTTCCTAAATAGGGAGGAAAATAAGGGTATCTGCTGAACCACTGATCCAAGTTTTAGATTAGATATTTCCCTTCTATTCTTATCTCTGTTATTTCCATTTTCCGTGACAATTTTTATCAATAGTTGGTCAGTCAGTTAAGATGAAATCTAAGTTTAAAATGTTTGTTCCAAAATTGAATATTAAGCAGTCCTACAGCACAATATATACATTTTAATTTTGGACACTTTCTAAAAGTTAGAACTTAATGTAATTGGCTAGAATGAGAACACTTTTTCAGTTAAACAAACAATTTTCTAAAAATAATAAAGTAAAGCTTTTGATACCTGTGATGTTGACATTCTACTGAGCAAGCTTGATCACTATGGATTTCGTACTTATTGTTCAAAATTATTTTAATGGAAGAAAACAATTTATTTCAATTAGGGGTGTTGACTCTTCACTTAAAGAAATCTCTTGTGGTGTACCACAAGGGTCGAAATTAGGACCAATTTTATTTCTAATTCTTATCAATGACCTTCCTAAAGCATAAGATAAAATCGCACCCTTATCTCTGATAGTTCTCCTCAAATCTATTTAATTGAATTTTTTTGTTATGATTATTGATATTCGGTGGAAAAAATAATCACAACAGCCAAGAGCAATTTTCCACCTAATTGCTTTATACTTGTACTGTTGAAATAATTAGCAATTTGTAATTTTAAACTCGTTCTGTACACAGATACATATGTGCTTTAGCAATGAACTCTATCTATCTATCTATCCAGGGAACTGTTGAGGGTGAACCTATCCGTGCAATGGAGATCTCCAGGAGGAAGCGTATGCTCTACATCACCTCGGACAACGGGATCAGGCAGATTAACCTCAACATGTGCTCCGCCAGGTATATCACCAGGGGGTAAATCATAGATATATTAATTTATCTACAGAGGTCGGCTTTTATATCTACATTGAGGACGAATTTTCTATTTAAGTTTTGATTTCTAACCAGCTTTTTTAAATTACAATAAAAGAAAACAAGAGAAGATTTTATTGACAGCTTCTCTTTGTTCCATGTTTATGTGTATCCATGCTGCTTGAAAGATTGTAGAAATCAACAATTAAAAATCGAAAGTCGTCTACATTGTATTAATATATATGACGACAACTGTATGATGTATATTTTGTTAAAAATCATTTCCTTCCCCCCCATACCCTTCTTCAACTAAAATGCAGAAATTGTCTCGTGAACATTACTCATTTTTTCGCATTTCCTTAATAAAAAAAAGCGAATTGGCTAAATTTTCCTTTTATCTGTTTCCAAAAAAATCGCAAAAAAGGAAAAATTTCGTGATTGTTTTTTAACTTTTTATTTTTCACACGATGATATTTGTCTAGGTATGAGAGCTGCCTGCAATGTAGCCTGGACCCTATGTGTGGATGGGATAGAGAGAGAGGAGTCTGCTCCGGGTACACATCCACCCTACTCTCAGATCCAACCCGGAGCAAGGACGGACTCTGTGATTCTTCAATCTTTAAGAGGTCATTTTAAAATAACTTATTCAATAATATTATTAACTGTATTCGATCTACAGGGTAACTCACAAAGGAAGCGACTTCAGAGACGACTGTACGGATTTCATACCGTCATCTGTTTAATTTCTTATAATCACGATTCCCTCCAACTTTAACTTGTTTGTTTCTTTGTCATATCATGAAATAAACCAGTAGAGAACTATAATCTAAGGCAATAATTTGACCCAAAATATTATCTGATAAGGATCATACAAATATTCAACCAAAAAACTGAACATTTATTTTATCAACAACATGAATTTCATGATTTATGCCAGGCAATATCCGGGATACTTCTATTATATATAGACTAGAGTTAACCACAAAGGATGAGACTGTAAAGACGACGTAAAATAGCCTTTTAATGGACTGTCTAATGATTTTGCAAAGAAAGAAATAAGTTTACTGTTGCTAACCATATATGTAAGGAAACAGACTGTATAAATTCCGTACAGTCGTCTCTGAAGTCTCATTCTTTCTGGGTAACTCTGTAATATATTTATAATTGTATTGTATTATTTCTTTTTAAATTTCAGAAAGTTGATTGCTAACTTTGGTCAAAGTATTCATCTCTCCTGTTCTGTAGGTTTGTAACAAATTTTAGTTTCAAATTTTCTTGTGTTGAAATACAGGCCCATTTTGGTATTAACAAAGACAATTCAAATTCGTAATATGCTTTTATGCTCCTGCTCTGTAGGTTTGTAACACATTTTAGTTTCAAATTTTCTGGTGTTGAAATACAGGCCCATTTTGGTATTAGCAAAGACAATTCAAATTCGTAATATGCTTTTATGCTCCTGCTCTGTAGGTTTGTAACACATTTTAGTTTCAAATTTTCTTGTGTTGAAATACAGGCCCATTTTGGTATTCAGCAATTAACAACTCTCTGTAGGGATTTACGTGTTTTTACCCTTGTTAAGCTCGGTTTATAGGTATTAAAGCTAAATAGGAATAAAGGACCATAAGTTGGATCAATCTAAAAACTGGTACAAATGACCTAACATATTTTTCTTGTTATCCAAAAATGTAAATTAATATAACGGATTTTTTAAAAAAGGAATGAAAAATCATAATTACTACAAAGGAACTAATCCCTATATCTTTGCAATCTGGTGGTGTACACCTTTGAAATTTAAAATTGAGATTATTTAGTCCAACAAAATCCTTAGATTGAAATATCTAAGGTCTACGACATTGGGTTGCAAAGAAATAGGTATTAGAAAATTAGAGCTTGTCCCAAAACTGATTCTTTGGATTCATATATATATTAATTATAGTAACACTTGCACTGTAAGCTTTTTTTCTTCTTTTTTAACTGTCCTTATTTCAGGGAAGAGTGCTGTAACCTCAGATTCTGGTGTTGAGTGGCATCACTACAGCAAAACAAAGGTTTTTTAACATTGCACATCCGACATTTTGTTCTATCTTTTGACTTTTGAAAGAATCCTAGTGGTATCTTCTTATATCTATACATTTATTATTTTATCTACACTGATAACCATAAAGCAATGGAATAGGAAGACGACAGAAAATTGAAGTATATGTGATATTGTCACAAAGCAAATAGTTTTACTAGTAACTCATCAAATTACTAATTTAGTGAATTAGGTCTGTTTACACTGAACAATTGCTGTTTCTGTGGACTTAATGTTTAAACTTGATTCTGAAAGTTTTCTTCCTATTTCAGAGTTTTATGGTTATCACTGTATCTAAATCAACCTTCAATCTAACTATCTATCAAATCATTAACCATCGGCATTTTCCGTGTTATTTATTTCATCAAATGCATGGTTGTCCGTTAATAAATATGATGTATAAATTCTAAATTCATGATTCTATTCGACTTTATAGACTACACAACATACATCAATCTATCATGGTTTTATGTATAGACTTAGATATATGCATATGTTTATATTTATAGACTACACAAAATACATACATATGTATAGCTTTTATGTTTAGACTTAGATATACGAATATATTCATATTTTTAGACTACACAACATACATATATCTGTATAGCTTTTATGTATAGACTTAGATATATGTATATATTCATATTTTTAGACTACACAACATACATACATCTGTATAGCTTTTATGTATAGACTTAGATATATTCATATTTATATAATTTCAATGTTACTAATCTATCTATCTATCTATCTATCTAGGGAAGGTACAGGGTAGAGTTGAGGACTGAGAAGCATGTACTCACCAATGACAACGGTCTGGTGGTTATCAGTGTTAGTGACCAGGACAGTGGCAGGTGTACACCACACTAAACTAAGCTAGGGGGGAAGGTGAAACAGGCTGAAATAGGAACTGTAAAAAGTCTCGCCGCGCCATTAAAGTTGATACTGGGTCGACAAAGGATAAGTCGCGCATCACAAAGACCGGTACAAATTTACCTGAGTCCGTCGTGACAGTACATACAATACTTACAGGGACTGTAATTGTTATTTCAAGTGAACCTCCAGGCAAAGATGGCAATGTCCGACTCACAACGGTACCCATAAAAGCTTTGTCTAATTAAGTAAGAATTAGATATCAATGTTCAAAATAAAAAAAAATATTTTCATTGTGGTTTCTTTACAAAAGTGACTTGCGCATTTCGACTGCAGGAAAACTATATATATTATAAGAATTTAACACTATTAGACCAAGAAAAAAGACAAAATCTTTCAAATCATTGATCAGATAAAGGTAAAAAAAAATATTAAAGGGACTGTAAGCGTCATTTTAAGTGACCCCTCATACAAAGAGAGGTGATACCTTATTTACAACGGTAATTCGAGAAAATAAATATTAATATTTCTAGAATACAAAACAGATTGCGAAAAAACTGTCAACACAATCACAAGAATTTCCGTGGAAAAATTATGATATATCCATCGCAAGGAACCGTAGTACATTTGAATTTCCGAGCCGGGTTAACTGTTCCTGTATCGCCCGGACATTGGGTAAATAAAGCAGACACTCAATAGGACTAGCCGGTGCAACAAGGTTGACGCGGACATTGGGTAAATAGGACTTCAGGTTGAATTTACTTTTACTGAAGGGTCAGGGGTGCGTGATCGTACTTGATCAATTAAAGGTTTAAAGAGTACTGTTGTGAATTAGGCACGCCATTCTGCAAATGGAAGGCTACTTGAAATTGGGTCTATAGTCTCTTTATGTTGGAGTAAATATGTTTATCTAAGGCCATGCACGGGAATGTTCTTATTATGGTTTTTAGATTCTAATTTGAGAGGGTCGACTACTATACAGGGTTATCCACATAGGTTGAGACTTCANGATTCTTTTAAATCCACAAGAATACTAGATCTTAGACTCGAGCACATTTTTTTTTAAATCCACAAGAATACTAGACCCTAGACTCGAGCAGATTATTTGAAATCTACAAGATTACTAGATCCTAGACTCGAACAGATTATTTGAAATCCACAAGAATACGAGATCCTAGACTCGAGCAGATTCTTATAAATCCTGAAGAATACCAGAACCTAGACCCGAGCAGATTATTTTAAATCCCAAGAATACCAGATCCTAAACTTGAGCAGATTTAAAAAATTTACTAGAAATCCAAATCTTAGACTTAAGCTAATTCTTCAAAATTCACTAGAAATCTAGATCCTAGACTGGTTCAGATTCTTTTTAATTTACATTAATACCAGATCATTGACTCTGGCTAATTCTTTCAAATTCACGAGATTACCAGATCCTAGACTCGAGCTAATTCATTCAAATTCCCCAGAATATCAGATTCTAGGATCGAGCAGATTTCTCCCCTAGAATACCAGACCAGAAATTAGTTGATCATATACCAGAAATCTTACACCAGAAATAAAGTGACTGCCATATATAAGTTGTTACCTAAGTAAACTGTCCTTTAAAATCCAAAGTATTGGCCTAGCTAATTAACCTTACAATGAATATTATTAGTCTTTAACGCTTTACTCATATCTAAAGGATCAAGCCTGATTTTTATTTTTCTGACATTTTCCCAATGCTCAATTTTTTATTAGACTAGTAGTTGATCTCTTATTTATTTTAAGCATGGGACACATTTTTTTGCCATTTTTTTTTAAATCTCTTGCAGCTGCCTAACTCTTGATATGTTACTTGCAGTACATTACTAAGCAATTCTTTGTGTACTGCAGCGTTTATTATGCTTTAGATCAATTTCTTATTATTTACAATTCCGGAAGCTGTTTGTTTACTCGTTATGAAATCTCATGCAATAAGTATTATCATTATCGCTGTAATTATCTAAATTTCTACATTAAAAGTGCATTTACATGTTCTTTTTTTACCCCTCCCTGCTATTAATGTAATGTATAGTGTATAGTAATTAACATCTTTTAAAAAATAAAGTTTTTCCCATTTTTTTCATTTATAAATCTCATTTCAAATATTGTTGCCAGCTCTGTTTTATATTAACTACGTTTATTTACAGTGTGAGTCAAGTTTAATATATATATACTTTGCTTTTCTGTTTGTCTATTCGTATCCAGTAAACGGCTGAACCGATCCGGCCGAAATTTTGTGTGGGACCTCACATGATTACAGGGAAAGTTAGTTGCTCAAAATTACTTAAATTTGTGTCCAAAAATTTTTGATTTTTGAAAAATTTCGAAGATGAGTAAAAATAACCCTTAAATTCGCGAACTTAATTTTGGTTTGAGCCACAATTAAAAGTTGGAATAAAAGATGTACAGGGGGGGGGAGGAACCCTTAAAGTGTGTGCCGCCCCCCCTCTCCCCGAGGCAAAATATATTAAACTTTTATATTCTTATTAATTCGCATTTTATTTCATTTTATATTAAAGGGAGTGACCGGCTATGTAAGATAGTTGAACTGAGTATGCAGTGTTGTGGAAAACTTCTTTAAATTAGGGGTAAACAAAAAAAATATTTCGGCTTGGTTACAAATATGTAAAACTATTTCTCATCAATCATTAAATTAGGTTCTGAGCTATTTTTACAAAAATCTTACGACACACGCCAAGTAAACATTGTTTTTATATAGTTAAATTTAAAAATACAGTTAAAAAAATTCAACATTTTGTAAATTGTTTATAATTTTCAAACATTTTGTTTTTGCAATGAAATCCTTAAACTTCTCAGACATAATAAAATTAAAAATAGTTAAATTCAAAATTGTTCCAAACGTTTTAAAAAGTTTCGGTTTGTATTTGCAGCTAATTTAACCCCAACCAAATTAGATTTTTCACATAGTATTGACCAAGGAACTATATACAGGAACGCCCAACTCAGTTGTACGCATATTATGTACTGTACACTATGGGAGGATTGTAAACAAACCCAGTGCCCCCAAAGAAGTAGGGAAAGGACTACGCTCTGATGTGATATTACAGTTCAACAAAAAACAAAATAATTTATCAAGTTAGAGCGAATACTTATGATTTCTGGTTTTCTGGTCAATATGAAAAAAGCAATATATTATTATCCACCCCTGGGACCCTTTTCCCTCAAAAATGATGCGTTGCCAGTGAATTCTTTGTTTCGATCTCCTCCCAATGCAGTACACGGATTTGACGCATGAGATATGGCGGTCCCTGGTCTATATATTTTTTGGTATTGACTAAAAGGAATTTTCAGTTTATTTAGATTTTTTATTTGACATGTCTGATACACGATCAATATTGAGGACAATATGTCGTTTTCCAATGCATGAACAGTATTTAATTCAGATAATTTACTTCTGTAACCTGACAACACTGAACAATGAAGAAAGTTTTTTTTCCTTTTCAAACATGTTCAAATTCAAAAGTCGGAGACAAACTGTAATTTTTATTTGTCAAAGGCATTGGTAAATGAGTGGCAATAAGGAATTGATTCTTTGCCACAAAACTCAAATTTTCTAAATCTTTGCGATTTGAGGGTGCAAACCTTTGATATTTCACGCTTAGATTAATTGACCTAAATAATTTGTAAATTGAAATACTCTATCTTTACAGTATGGGTTGCAAAGATCTAGTCATTAGAAACTCAGAGTTTGTGACAAAGACTCAATTCCTTGGACAAAATTAGTAGAATTCATCACTGAAATTCATTGAATTTTTCTATTTCATATGAATGGGTACAGACATAAGCTTCAGACAAGCCGAAGTTTATTTAACGAGTGTGTATGCTTGAACCATTATATTGGTCATCAGTAATCTGTATGCAAACCAGCGCCCAGAGACACCGCTAGCTTCCTACTTAATAGTTTATTTTCTCGGCGTGACCCTTCAGTCCCTAGTGATATTTATCCTCTATAGATGTCATCCTAAAATTCAATAACAATTATTTTTCTGTCTCCTTCCTATTTACGTATCGGCATTAATTAAAATGCCTTAAAATGGCCCAAAACTAAAATCTTTCAAACCATCAAAACCATGATATATCTCTAAATTGTTAGTTTTTTGTCTTGGCTAAAATTGAGGTCCATGAATTTTAATTAAAAAACTAGGAGGAGAAAATTTACAGTTTTTATTTACTTTTTTAAAAACCAACTATTTTTCCTCGCCCATTTCTACTTAACACTTCCTGTATAATTGGCAGTGCGCAATGTTCACTGCTAGTGCTGCTTGTTTTGGCAGATTTTCTCTAATTGAGAAATGTACGCGGCATGGGTTCAAGGAGACACATCTTTCTTCCCGCCAATCATCAAAGAGTCCATTAATCATACCCAATTTTTAGATGAATCGCTAGTGGTTTAGTGAACGTTTGGTAAACTCTGAATTAGAAATATACTTTTGACGCTTAATGCCACATTTCAAATTTTAAGATGAATAATCTTTTTTTCTCAAAAAAAGCATAAAAAAAAATTAAGTTACAACTCAAATACAGTAAATACAGTCAACGTTATCAAAATGACTAAATATATCTTCGCCATCTTGTAAAAAACGTAAAAATCTCCTGATCATTCATCAAGTAACGACCGGAAGTCAGAATTTTTGTGAGTCGTCTCTAAATTCCTATATTTTCCAAATTAATTTTCCAGAACAAGAAAAAAAACGATAATTTTGTACCAAAACCAATTTTTTTTGGATCAATCTAAAAAAGTGTTTAAGTGAACGAGCGATTTTTTAGTAACAAATTTTGAAATAAACGATAGTTTTTTTACTTTAACAAACGATTCAATTAAAGGAACGATTTTACTGAACGAACAATATTACTGAATTATCGTTCAGTGAGAAAATGAACGATAATTTTGAGAATGAACGAAATCAATTTTTTTACGAAGGAAAAAAATACGAACAAAATGGGTTGTTCTGGCCTGTTCCAGAACGATATACGAACAAAAGGAAACAAAGTTGAACATACCCATCTCTATTTAGGGTGGGTTGTTTGCATTTTCAATATTTCAGTCGTTCTGGACTCTGCAGCTGTTTATTTAAATAAAGCATCTCACACACACATTTATTTTTTTATCCAAAATGACGTCTATCGATAAATCCAAGATGGCAGTTCGGTT